CACAAAATATCATTCTCTGACAGTAAGGACATACAATTCGCACAAGAAGTCTCTTACGACTGCGTAACCAAACTTGCACAGTGACAATAAAAGCCTTTGAGTCAACACTCCGCGAAAACTTCTTCATAGTCATGTATTCTAAAATATGGAACGATCCGCCCCTAGAAGTCAGGAACTGCAATACAGTTATAAGTTGCAAACGCTCTCTGTACACACTATTTCACTCTACTGATTATATAAATAAACTATTTATTCCTAGAACGAATCAACTATTAGTCTACTACAGTACCTAAACGCGCTTAAATACCCTTACTTCGCTAAAGACTATAAATAAACTAGTAGCATAATTGCATAAAAAGACTTAGTAGAAATAAATATTTGTTCATCAAATTACAATGTACAACGAATATAAACACATATGTCCCAATCCACATACTTTTTCTCTGTCCTCTGGTATATTTCTGTTGCATTTGCCTTGTAGTAGAAGTTGCATTGATCTACATTCCGACTGAAGCTGAGAAACAATTGAATTCGATTACTCATATATTATCCCTCAATGTTTGGCTAGTAATGGCTCAGCATCCTTGATGAAATCCACTGTCACCATAACTAGACGCTGTACAGCATCTTATACAAGCACTGTCAACGATCTAAATGGTTTTTGTATAGCTTACTACGTGTTTATCAACTTACTCGTACGGAGCAACCACGCAGTGACAAATGGCGGGCTCCGGGTGACTTGGGTGGAGTAAAACAAATCCGCTTGAAAATGACCAATATTAATCTGCATTCAGTTGAATTCACATCTGGTATTACTTGCAATAAAAATGATGTCAAAATCATACAAATAAATCACTCATTTTAAATTAATACCCAATTTGAACATAAAACAAGATACGATGCCGCACACAACAAAGTTATATGGAGGAATTGACTTCAAGCTTTATTTTTTTCCCAAATATTTGTAATTTATCCGACACATACTTGGGCATGGATAAGTATTATTTACAGTTCATGAATTTGATTTATAGTGAAATTACATGGTTGCTGTCCTCTCTGACATTAATTAGTGAGTACAATCTGATAGCTAGTCGTTCAATGGAGCACATTAAGAAATACAGAAATATTGTCTTCCCATTAACAACAAAACCCAAGTATGTGTTGGATGGATTACGAATTTTTGAGAAAAAAAGAAAGCTTGAAGTCAATTCCTCCATATAACTTTGTTGTGTGCGGCATCGTTTCCCAGAAGACCCGGCTGCATAAGCGCAAGTCGAGAATTTCTGCACCACAGAATTGTAAGCTGGACTTCTCGTAGCCAGGCTGACATCCCGACACTGCACAATGTTGACCAAAGCTGTGGCTTTTGCCAGGGAATTATGATTTCGTTAGTTGTATCTCCAAAGTAAAGCTCACACAAATGCTTGGGGGAACGGGTTATGATGTCTCCAGATAGTTTAACTGCTAGCATATACTTACAGACGCGAGGTGAGTGTAAATGCTTGGTGCTTGCCAGTAGTCTGGTTGACAATCAACGACCAACGTGGATAGTTGGGAGACCCCGATTCCAGACCCACGGTGAACATAGGCTTTAGGATTCATTAGGGGTGAATACTGTGAACCCACTTGAACTTGTATTAACATAACAATCAAGTTCAAAAACTCAAACAATCCATGATAAAACAAGCACAAACAAAAACCCAGTTATGTCGTGGAAGTTAAATTTAGTGAAGAATAAGTTCAAAACAACAAATTCCCTAGTCTTGTCTTACGGAAAATAATATTGACAGTCTTACTCTGGAAAGTTAGTTATAAACGTTGAACTTACTTTTCAGCTTGTTCTCCTGCAAGGTATCTGTCGCTTGTGCCAGTTGTTTAAGTAATGCAATTATCGATAGCGTATCACCCGAAGCAGCATTGTTCTTTCGGAAGCATGCCACATAAGTCTGGGAATTTTCCATTCTGCTTCCTTGAAAAAATTCTCGGGAGTAGGTTGAGAGCCCAGAAATATGCACAAGAGTGGGTTGAAATTCCCGATCGTGGTTGGATAGTCATAACACTATGATATATAGTGAATGCAATGCATCTAGATCGAAACAAACACTTGTTATATAAGATAACTCTTTAGGATTATTTTTGTCCTACAGATTTAGTCCTTCCTCAATAATGACGACACAGAGTCTCTGCTTAGCTATAGTTAAAACAGAATGACTTGACTTTAACTTTATCTGTTTCTAAAACATAAAATAAATCATACAATTACACTAAGAAAAATGTACAAATCCACTGTCATTACAAAAAAAGGATAAAAACGTACCGAACAGTATTGAGGGTACGGACAAAATGAACAGTCAATTAATTACATGTATACAAAAATAGAGTGACAGACAAAAAAGAACATTCAAGGTCATCACGTGGTGAGAGTTACAATAAATCGACCAATAATCGCGACAAGAAGGTCACATCATATTGATTAACTGTCTATCACATAGTCTATCTATCTGTTGCGATTAACAAACTCTTCGTAGCCTAGTGTACCTTTTTGCTGCTCCTGGGGAATCCAGACTATCGTCTGTACGTGGTAGGAGGAGACAGTCTCGTTTGGCTAGCTGGGCCAGTTTACGATAACCTACTCACACAACCGAGGTGTTCCATTCGGTTTCTTCACTGAAATCACTGGAGGAACCCAACTAGACACAGAAGGTTTGATGAGATTCTTTTGAAGAGCTAACTAAGCATTTTATTGATCTCTTTTCGACTCAGATTATCTGCAATTTGGAGCGTTACCCTTATCTATTTGGTGCTGAGTTGAATTCATTCTCCCTGGTTTTTACCTTGTTAATGAAAACAGTTCATAAAGTTCCACAACATTTCATCGAAGTAGGCTATTGATTCCAAGGGTAGATGCTCTACAATTGCCGCTGTTTCTGACTCTTAGTATCATTCTGCACATGACATTTACATTGTCCTGTTTCCTTTCTCCTGAAAAATAGAATGGAGAATTTTCGGCTACCGCCGTCTATTGAGGACGGCTTTCCCAAAAGGGCGACGCCTAATAATACTTTCCATGGTGCCTGAGTGGACAGTGCGAATGCATGCAAAAAAGACACAGTCCTCAGTTTCAGAGGTAGTGGGAGTACTCCTTGAGACTGAATGCTGTTGCCAAGGGCGGTTGTCAGCCACAGCTACTGTAAACTTAAAAGTCTCTGGCACACATGAAGAATGCATAAGAGAACATGCCGCTTCAGCATTACACACTTTCTGCTGCCAATGAATCCTTCAATTTCGTCAGGCTCACATAGATTAAGTTAATAGTGTGGATACCTTTCTACCAATTTGTAACTTGTCTGTGTTGTGTTCACACGTCCTAGAGAACTTACAAAATGTTTGCAGTAATTAAAATCGTTTTTGAAACAATTTGGGAGTGGGAACGTTCTTTTTAGTACCGTGCGACTCCCCGTGTAATAGGTGGTGTTTTAGGGCTATAGTCCTATATATATATTTATTTATATATATAGGCTATGACTCTCAAATAACTGTGCCCTGTTTTCTGCTAATTCCATTTATGATGGAGTAAGCTCAATTCCTTCCTTTAACGGATTTGGAAACTGTGCGAAAAATTTCAAAAACAGAGTCTCCCACTTCTGGTTGTGGATTGTCTTGCTTAGTTTGATGTGCAAGCTTACGGGGGCGCCAGATAAATTAGTTGATGAATCTCTCTTGCCTCTGAATGCACTCATCAAGTCTTCCACTGCTTCTGTTCGAAACATTGGTGACTTCATCCGTGCTCGTAGTGTACTTAAGATGGATTAACGTTATTTGTACACCACTTAAACCGGTCACATGCATTTCAAGTGACTGTCCAACTAAGTCTATGGCTGACGCGTTCGTGTGAGGGATATTCAACAACTTGATTTATAGACGCAGCTTGTCTGACCATAGTACGAAGTCATCACTGACCGCCGGTTTATGCGGTATGGGGTGAATATAACGCGGAGCAGGCTGATTTAATCTCCATTTCCTGGCCATAACGATTGCCATCTGATAGACATCCTTGTTAGCTGATATTTGCTGATCAGCTGGAGTGCTCTTTGTAGCTCCAGTGTGCCGAGACTTAAAGTTTGGAAGTATTCTGTTAGGTGGGATCACCACTTATGTAGTGCAGTAAGTCATCCGAAGCAGAGAGTAAAGTGCACGTTAGCAGTTTCTAGCTGCGAGCCAGTAAGAACTGCGGCCCGAGGTCTAAGACTATATTTACAACCATTCCTATTGGAGAGGAGTGAGAAAGGAGGATTCTTCCAGCCTGCTTTGCACCTCGTCTTCCTGGACACCAATGCATGCACACCATGCAGTCGATCTGATATCAGACCAGTATGCAGTTTAAAAATGAGAAATGTGTGCGTCGGCGGCACAGTGGTTAGGACTCTCGGCGACCATGCACATGGTCCGGGGTTCGATCCCCTGCTGGCGCACACCCGATATCTATGGTCGGCCTGTAAATTTCGGCTACCGACATCCATGCTGAAAATTCCATACTTGTACTGAAAATACGGTGTGGAATCAGGCTGTAATCAAAATAAAATAAAATAAATAAAATAAAAAGCTTCCTTACTTATTCTACACAACTAATAATCCTACGTGTCACTGTCAAATTTTGGGAAGCTCTAAGAGTGCATTACAAGAAACGGGAGCCTGGAATTTTTTTGAACATAATTTTTCGATAGTTTCTGAACTTTACTTCTCCCCTAAGAACGTATCGTAAGATGTATGTCCTTAATGTATCTTCGCACTCTTTATAGGACTAATTTCCATAAAAAACGCTGTTTTATTGGGATATTGAGAGATAATTTGGAGATACTTGTAAATAAAAAATGATCGCTCTAAATCTGAGACAGGGTAAAAATAAAACGAGTGAGTAGGTGATTGATCAAGTGACTTAGTTAACATACTTCGATAGGTCATTGGTTTAGACGGCGGGCTAATTAAAAGTTATTCAATTTATGGCAACCGCTTCATCAGATAATTTATTGGACTCAGATAGTGAAGGTGAACGGCATTCAAAATGTCCAGCTTATTCTTCAAGGTATGTTAGATGTTTCACTCGCCTATCTGATAATCTGTACCTTTATTATTGTGGTTATTAGTCATAAGTCCCAACTTTCTAGGAATGTTTTGTTTTTCATGATCGTATTTTGGTTGGATTACCATATTAGAATACAGGATTTTATGGAATAAACTTTTGTGAGTGCAATATTTTAAATCATGAGGATTCGATCACGGCACTACGGTGAATTTCTTATGGAAGTGATTTATTTAATGTTCATACAACACTTAGTCGGATAAAAATGGACGGAGAATGGTTAGATAATTGTTGAAAAGGTTAGATGGTTAAACTGGCAACATAATGGCCAAATCCCAGTTATGTAATGGTCGAAATTGGAAAAGATTCCTTAAATAGTGGGAAAGTAGTGATGAAGTAATGGAATATATTGGTCAGAATTGTAAAATATTGGTTAAATTCTGGTCAGGAAAAGCTGTCGTACAACCAGAATTCGTCCATTTTTTTCTTGCCATTAGCCATACCCATTACTTCCTCACTACTCACCTTTTTTGTCCGATTGGGTAGGAGCATGCTCTCATGATTTGAATTTAAGCCAATGATTTTTACCTTGTATTTAAATATATTATTTGGTTATTCTTAATCACTAAAGTGTAGTTGAATAAAACTGGGCTTTTGAAGCAAAATAATGCCTTATTCTCCCATAAGTGTCGTTTTTTGACATTTCAAAGTTCATGGTTGATATTAGTTACGACCTATAAAGGCAACTCAAAGCATTTGATTTGAGCTTGTGAGTCTAACAGTTTCTACACACAGTGAAAGGTTTCATATGTTTATCGATTCCTGCCTTTTACCATTGCAATTAAGAAGTTTTGTATAATGTCCCATCTATCCAAAATTTCGGGTGCACTGCAGAAACTTCATGTATAAAACCCATAAAAAAAATCTGCCACTTTCCTGACGATTTCACGATATTGACCGTACGTGGATTTGTGACATCTGTTTGTTGTAGTCCCTTTGCATCATTCCCTCCATGTTTTTTGCTCATAAAGTGTGGCATCCTGAACTACTGTAGTTTTGTGCAACGTTCTACGTTGAAACTCAGTCAGTCATCCACCTACGAGCTACACTTATCGTGTAAGGGTTGATAGTACTGCCTATTCGCCCAACTGACATAGAGAGGGTGGTGTTTGAACTCAGGATCTGTGGACTGGAGCTCGAGTACTTAAGCCAACCATCCACATTTTCACATCACTTGCATTTGATAGGGGGAAGTTCTATACAAGAAATGCTCGGATTTTTTGCTCAATCTATTAAAAAGACCATGTTCTTAGCGTTTTCACATATCATCCGCTTACTCCACGATCGACTTCACCTGATTGGGTTGTCAACTTTGGTCCTCCTAATATGACTGAGTTTGCGGAAGCTGCTTTAGTATGAAACGAAACGAAGCCGCAGAACGTGATAAAGTGACTCCAAAGATATTTTAAGAACCGTGGTGACGAACTTTTGTCAGGGTTAACTAAGATATCAGATAACGTGTAAAAACCGGAGATAGTTTCATTTGCTGTGAATCATCTATTATCGCGGTTGATGTAAGGGGAGATAAGTGTTTGATAATTATGGAGGAATAAGCTTGACTAATATGGTATCTAGAGTTGCAGGTAATGTAGTCATGCGTAGACGAAGTTGGGCTCGTGAGAAACAAACACGAGAAAACTAGCGACATTTCAGACCATAACGGTGTATTGATTACATCTTCATCGTTAGACACTTTCTGGAACATAGGCGTACTTACCAGCGTCCAGCATCTACCATGTTTCTTGACCTAAAGTCATAATTCGACTTCCCTGCTGCGGAAATGTTTGGCTATGAAGGGAATGCAGAGAAAGTCTAACACTATTTAAGACATTCCACTCGAACTCACAGCCCTGTAAGAACTTGTAGAGAGTTGTCATCTGAGATTATGACCATTGGTGTCTATCAGGTATGTTCATGGCATCAATCCATGAAATCCCTGACAGTTAAACTGAGTCAGGTAGGGAGATGCAGACTTCCGAGTTGGGGCCCTCGGGACTCTAAGAATCAGTGGCTGGAGACAATAGGTGACATGGCTCAAAATCGTTGTCAATGGCGCAGATGTATTCAGTCTCTTTAACCTTCATATTCTTTTCTACCATTACTCATTCTGTTTCACTCTTATACTTGTCAAAACTCTATTGATTCTCTTCACTCATTTTCCTGTCTACCTTTGTGTGCTATTTGGAACGTGGCAACTGGAACTGCTGCACTTCGGTGCCAAGTTCTATGTTGAATCCACCAGCACCACCAACCACCATCAGGTATGTTCCCACTTTTATTTGATTTCATCATAGATGTACTTATGGTCTTAAGTGAATTAGGGTTTGATGTTTCATTGCAGAAGAGCCTCATCGATTTAGAGTGTTCGGGTAGAGATGCTGACAAAATGCAATCCTCTGGAAACCATGAGCAGAAATCCTTGAATGTTTGGGGTGTAATTCACCTCTGTAAAAGGTAAAAACTAGTCTGCAGGATAGGAAGTGAATTCGTAGGGCGTGTTGACCATGTCACTTATTTGGGAGGTTGCATCTGCCCTAATGGACTAATTGATGACAAAATCTCACCGCGTATACATACGGCAGGCCTAGTATTTGCCATCTTACATTACCTCTAGCGTAGACGTGATATCCAGATATCCATCAAGAGATGTGTGTACTGCTCAGCAGTTCGGTCTGTGAGGTATAGCCGCTGAAAGTTGTAGACATTTAAAGAATAGTTGTCTTTGACCACATGTTTGCGTTCTGTCTTCCGTGATACGTGGTATAGTAGGGTGAGTAATATTGAGGTTAAAAATAGTGTTAAGTGAGGAAGGCAGGTCAATCTATAAGATTGAGGTGAATAAGGCGTGTTACGCATTTCAACGCACAGCCTTCCTCGTCAAGCCATGTTCTCTGGCATGGTATTAGTTTAGACAAGAGTTAGAGGTCATCAAGCCAAAACCTCCAATGAATTCATGATGACTGACTGTGGGTCTCGGCCACCCACGTAGGAAGGTTTTGACTACCTGGTTGATGTCCTTGGAATGCTAAAGGTAAATGGCTTGTGGTCTGAGTTTGGATCCCCGAGCGACGCACTCCTTTACCTCGCTAAGCTAGTAATAAGACTGCTAAGGAGGAAAGGTTGGTTGGGCATGAGGCTAGCAACCCCATCCCGTAAACATAAACACCACTGCTACCGAAACTTCAGGCCTCTAGCTTAAAGCCTTATGTTCCACTGGGAACGTAAAGGAATACAAAAAAACAAAAAAATATTTATCTTGATAAACCTGAATAAATCGAGAAGAGCATATCAACAATGCACTTACATAAGGGTCGAATAATGTAGTTCAACAGAGACGAAAAAAGGGACCAGCCACGAATATACATAAAGACGAAGTTTCGGGTAGGAAATCACACTGAAAATATAATCAATATAAAAAACTAACAAAAATAAAGTAGAGTATATTTTCCGAGGTAACGCAAGATTAACAACGCTTTTTTCATTCTTATCCTATACTCTTGGCCAGCCCCTTTTCTGACATCTGTTTAATTAAATTATTTGATCCTTACGTAAGTGTAGGGTTTTATTTTACACCTCTGTTGAATTTGCAACATTCATTCTTAATTCTAGAGAATTCATTAATCGTTTACATACATACTTACTAATGAGCCTAACAACAACGACCTTTACTCCTTTCTCTTACGCTATTTAATCACGTGATATTAATCTCCTTTACCTTTATGATCAATAACTGTTTAAGTGTTGCTCATATTGGTATTCAATTGTGTGTGGGTGTATGTGGTTGATAAGAAACGATGAAATATAACGACGTCATTTTATCCCGCTCAATAATGTGCTCTTTTTGCTTTGTTTAACATTAAGATTAAGCGGTTGACTGAACTGTTTATTTATTTTTTTTAATTCATGTATAATCCCCATCCAGACAATAATGAAAACAAAACACGTAGATCAGCGAAGAGTCTCTTTTCGGCGACGAATTCATTTTCTTAGCTGTACAATCGCAAATGTATATGTGTTATTTTGTATGTATGTGTACAATAAGTTTATCAAACAAAAATACAATTGGTTATAGTTATTTAAACTAAACAGGTGAAGATCGGTAATTGGAGTTACGTAATACAAATTCAGTCAAGAAAATTAGGTGTTAGTGAAATTAGGCTAGTAACAAAGGTGATGAGTTGTCACAAACAGTTGTTAAAAGAAGTTATGTAATAATATGAATAGTTTGATGAGTGAGTTTTACTCAGGATGCACATAGGAACAAAGTAGATGATACGAAATTACGTAAGAGCTCTAAATGAATACAAGAATCATAACCAATTAAATAACTGTCTTGGTAACAACTTTTTTGATTTGATTTTTTTGATTTTGGTAACTTAATTTTGTTTCTTTGCCTGTTCTTTAATTGCTTGTGATTCTTGTATTCATTTAGAACTCTTACGTAGGTTCGTATTATCTACTTTGTTCCTATGTGCATCCTGAGTAAAACTCACTCATCAAACTATTCATATTATTACATAACTTCTTTTAACAACTGTTTGTGACAACTCATCACCTTTGTTACTAGCCTAATTTCACTAACACCTAATTTTCTTGACTGAATTTGTATTACGTAACTCCAATTATCGATCTTCACCTGTTTAGTTTAAATAACTATAACCAATTGTATTTTTGTTTGATAAACTTATTGTACATATACATACAAAATAACATATATATTTGCGATTGTACAGCTAAGAAAATGAATTCGTCGCCGAAAAGAGACTCTTCGCTGATCTACGTGTTTTTTTTACTGTGATCTAAATATGAAATGTTATTCCCTTCAGTAGAAATGTAATATTGTACTGCGGGACTTGTCTTTGTCGAATTCTAGTTTTAGCACAGGGAATGAAGTGGTTGAATGGTTTTGGACCATTTTACTTATTTGGGATGTTGCTTCAGTCATAACGGAGTGATTACTGATGAAATGGCTGCGCAGATACATTCAACTCATTTGATGTCGATCCATCCATACATCCATCAAAGGAAATGTGTGCTGTGCAACAGTTTGCCTTGTTATTCTTTATAACTGACACTGGAATATGTGAAGAGGTCATTTACTTCTGTTAGATAGTGTAATGCATTCAGTCAGTATTAATAAAGTTAGGCATAAAGTGTTAGCAAGTGAAGTCAATCGATCGGTTGATGGAACTGTCTATTTAGATGCTTATGATACGTGTTGCGCATGCCGAGTTATCACCTTCCTTATGGAGCAATACTGATTGAGATCAGATTAGGTTGAGAGAAAGTTAAGAATGGTCAGACCGAAACATTGCATCACTGAAAATCGTCCTCAAGGGAGAAGGTATATTTACTCCTTGTGATCTCCTAGATTCCCAAAGTCCTCACTAATTTTTATCTAACGGATTCCCGTGCACCTTTCTATCTACTTTAGCTTCACTACATCCCCTTCCTCTACTTATATGTTTGCCTTTCTGAAGTATGGCAATTCGGATTGCTGCTCACCAAATGTTATCACTAGCTATTATATAGTTAGCAACTGGTTCATTGCTTTCACTCGATGGCTACGGGCGCAGTAGCTGAACATTGGTAACCGTATCTCCTGATTTTCTTTCTTCAGTGTAACTCTCTATCGAGGAAGGTATTTTGCTTAATAATTTACTCTGTCCTATTCTAGAGGTGTGGGAAACAGATTACGTAGTTATTTGTAACGTATAATAGAATAGTAGAAGTTTTTGAAGTTAGACACAATTTTTTCGTAGGGAAAACAAGTTAATTTATACATATGTAGATTCTCTCTTCCTATGAAGGAAAATATGTACATTTGTCTCGTAGGGCTTGGAAAAAATTCTAGAGATGGTCACGTCACAATACGACATGAATCCATGAAGTCTCTGAATGCTGTTTTGGGTCATGCAGAGGAAAAGAAGGTCCCTAAAATGCTAAGAATCAATAATTAACGACATGCCTTAGAATAGTTCACATTAATTTCGTCATCATCTTCATTTCTATCGTCTCTTTTTGCATACTCGTTCTTGTTCATTGCAGCATTGGCTTTTGTCTGTTCCTTAATTTTTATGTATGTTGTTTCGAATCAGTGTACTTCTGTACAAAGTCCTACGCTAATTTATGTGTCTATATTGTGTATCAGATCATTTTTTTGTTTTATCAATGACATGTAATCACAACATCATCACTATCCATGTTACAGTTTAGTTTTTCAGGTTTCTTTGTAAATTATTATTACCATTTACTTTATCCTGCTGGTGTTTTTCAAAAAAATAAATGATTTTAGTTGCGTGGATTGCTGTCGAAATTGTCGTGGTCCAAAAGTCTATCATGCACGTGTAGTTAGTCTTGGTAGACCATCAAAAACTCAAAAGTTTCCTTCGAATAGAATTAATAATCAAAAGTACAATGTGATCACTTTTATTCCACTGGTAAGTCTTGTTAAATTCTTTTTTCCGCATTGAATTTTATGAATACTATTGGTTAATATGTACAGGGATTGCTGGTTAGGATTACTATTATTTTTATTCCTAATCCTATTCATTTATTGTGTTCTGTGTGGAACATAGGACTTCAACAACACAACTCCTTTTCACTTTATTCTCTGCGTCATTTTCTACCGGCTATACGACTACCCAAACGCTTTTATTTCCCCTTTACACGATCTATCACTATCTCAATCTTGGTCACCCAACCTCTTTTGCTTCCTGTTCGGGTTCCACTCGAGGGCTTGGAGGTGTGTGATGTTACTTAACGATCTTCTCAGTGTATGTATTATTTCCAATTCATCTTCATTTTCTTCTGCTTATTTGTTGGGTAGTAGGATGTTGGCTCGTGGTTCTCTGCAGTACTGGAGTTCCTTGTTACCTATACTTTTTTAGTCTACCATCTGATCTACAGTATCGGCCAAAGATAGCTGTTGATGAAAGTCAGCAGTAGCCTGCTGTAAGTGTTTTTGATGACACGTGCACCAAGTCCTATTCTGTAAGTAGTCGAGTGTTATGTCACCGAAAAAGTAATCATAGTTGGTATTTCACTGATGAAAGTCCTAGAGAAATAAACGAATATGAAAGGGGACAGATAGAGAGTTATATGATGGGGCATTGTCACTGAGCGTCTCCCGGTGGGATTCAACAGCTTGTTAGACAAATAGCAGGTGTGTTCGAAAGAACACCGACAAATCTCCTTCAATGAACATTGAAGAGACTAAAAGACAGTTGTTATTGTTCCAGTTAACTGAAAGCCATCCTCTTACTGTTACGTCTAGTACACACAGCCTACCCAGTGATAAATATCAGCAAGCTATCCAATGGGGATGTTACGTCTTATGCTGATATTCGTGCTGACAAAGAGTGAGTACCAAAAACTGGACCATATTGTAGAGCAACTAATAGAGGAATAACCGTAGGTGCTTTGCTTGTAGAAAGACAGGGTATTAGCAAAGAAATTGTCTAGTGAAACGTGGACGAAAATATTTTATTAATTATTATTCCGAGTGGGACATACGGCTTTAGTAGCGCACCTCCATTCTTATCCTGTTCTCCGAAGTCATATTCAGCTGGCCCAACGGCTGCCAATAATCTCTCATCTCCTCCATATCACCCTCGGACTCACGCCCAACTTGTCATTTTCACTCGGTTCCTGCTCGAGTGATGGCTTGCATTGCACGCGAGGTCATTCGACAGTCTCTTCAGCGTGTGTCCAATCCATTTCCATTTTCTTCGGTGTACTTGTTGACTATATCTAGTATATCTAGTGAAGATTAGTGTGATTTCTGTAAATATTGTCAAAAAATGAGGTCATAAGTGTTAACTGTCATGCTTGTCGAACTCAGCAGCAGCAAAGTGTACCAGAAACATTTAAACAACCTTTATCGCTCATAAAATTGAAATCTGTCTATTTTATTGCTACAATCGAAAGCATTACTTCTTTATAGCACAGGTAACAGTTTTTTTTTATAAAAATGGTTTAAGAAATAAGTCAAAATAGCTTGGCGTGAGTACTAAAGTATATATAATCCAGCTTTACAGTTTCCTAATAACTACAGGCAAAACAGTAAACAACATACCATTAGTTAATTTTGTTGTTGTCTGTTGTGTTAAGGCCTAAATCGCCTTTGCAAAGCCGATTTCTACACCTGCTGACTAATTTGAAACTTCAAGCTGACATCAGTTACAGAACCCTTGAGAAATCAAGGAGTACTGGTCAGCTGTTTTTTATCCTAGTTTGGGACTCTCTACAGTAGTAGGCACCCAAAGGGGGGATTGAACCCAGAACCTTCCGGTTACAAGGCGAGTTCGTGGGCTATTCAGCCAGTGGGACCTTATCCAATGACCCATGAATTCCAACTTGTACTAATTTGTGATATATATAGCAACCTCCGGTCAGTGTCATCGGTGAGTAACTCTCCTCCTGTCTGACTTTATGAATCTCTCTGATCATGACTTCTTAACAAAACTTCACGTAACTTCCTGTATATAGAACCAGTCGCCAGTGAGCATCAGATTGATCTCGATGTGCTAGTTTTCATGGATTTGATAGGTTACAAGAAGGGTCCTAGATAGAGCTATCTAGTACTGTGTAGTTTTCCAATGGTTTTCTAACTGATGTCATCTCGAGATCAAACTTGTAATCAATCAAATCTCTGCAAACCAACGCTTGGTAATTTAATTTTAGATTTTCCCGTCGATTGATTGGACCGAAGTGTTCGGTCTCAGGTTGACACATCGGCTTCTTGTGCAAATGTTTCGACGATGTCTGGGCATTTAATTAGAATTTAATTGGTAGATGATGACTAGCAGTGGAATCCAGGATGCGCATTTCGTCCTATTTGGGACTCGTCTGCCAGCGGGTTGTACCTGCATTCCCCAGTGAGTGATGACGTTCCCACTGAGGCTCGAACCCAGTGCCCATAGTTTCAGACACCAAAGCGTTATCCGCTAGACCACTTGTGCCACGAGAGCCACCTCTTGTGCAATCCCGTCGATCGATTGGACTGCAATCTGAAATTCAATTAAATAATTAATATGACCCGTTGCACAAGCGGTGGCTTTTGTGGCACAAGTGGTCTAGCGGATAACGCTTTGGTGTCTGAAACTGGGCACTGGGTTCGAGCCTCAGTGGGAACGTCATCACTCACTGGGGAATGCAGGTACAACCCGCTGGCAGACGAGTCCCAAATAGGACGAAATGCGCATCCTGGATTCCACTGCTAGTCATCATCCACCGATTAAATTCCAACGCTTGGTAATTTGAAATTTGTTAACTAAATAAACTGTGGTTTTTAGAGTTTGAAGTGTTCTCTAATCTCTGGTGCAGGTGCTTCAATGATATTCTAAACATCATATTTAGTGGAATTTCAGAATCGGTGAAGACAGAGAATTTCCTACGGATATTTATTTATCCTTGAGTGTTTATTCTATCCACCAGCATGCTAAACAAACCGTCTATGTAGAGATAAATCTTTATTAACAAGTTTGGGAGGAAAACAAATTTCAGAGTCATGTTGAAGGTAATACTAATATTATCACTATAAGGTCTGTTTCAAGAGAATGACATCTTGGTGAATACTTCCAAATCAACGTTGACTTCTTGAAATGCACAGGTAACGTGATGCAGGTTGATAGAAAGCGGCTAGAAAATGAAATCAACATTTTAAGTTAATGGCTGCAGCAGAGATAGAAGTGTTTACTGGATTTAATTTACCTTGTGGATATGAAGTAACTTCATTGGAGAACTTGTTTAACCTTGGGCCAGTTGCCAACCAATCAGAACAATTTATTCTCCTCTGACCTAGCCGAACTTTAATGTAGCTAAGAATGAATGAATACAATGTGTTTTTCCGTAATAATAAAGGTCCGTTACCCAGTTTTTTATCTTCTCTTGTTACACATATAGTTTTACTTATTTTAATAGCTTAATTTTCTGTGAATTGGAATTAACGAAAATTATTTTCTCTATTTTCACAGGTTCTATTTGAACAGTTCAGCATCTTTTTGAATCTTGTTTTCCTTGTGATTGCATGCAGTCAATTTATCCCTGAATTAGGTGTAGGTCATTTGTATACATATTGGGGACCGCTTGGTTTTGTAATCGCTGTAACAATGATTCGAGAAGCAGTAGATGATATTGGTCGATGGATGAGAGATCGAGAAGTTAACATGGCTATTTATGGAAAATATGTACGTAATAATAAAGAAATCTCTGTAATGAGTTCAGATATCAAGGTGAGTGAGTATTCATACAATTGTGATTTATCTGTTTCTAGATATAATTTCTTTTTTCTTTTTAATTCAATTTTGATTTTCCCCTTGATTCACTGGCTGGAAATAACTGACACCCGCTGCACAAGAGGTGGCTCTCTGAGTCCAAATGGTTTAGGGGATAACGCTTTGGTGTTTGAAACAATGGGTAGGTAATGGTTTTCAACCTCAATGGGAATATCATCACTGACTCACTGAGGGATGCAGATACATACAGATGATGAGTCCCGAATAAGATGAAGTACACAGCGTGGATCCCACTGCTAGTAACCATCCAGATCAGATTTATACTCAACTAACATTTAAGGATCATAATTCAAAATGACTATCATCGCATTCGGTAATGCGTTTATTTCCGTAGCTTAGAAACAATCACAAAATAGAGTTATCTATCTAGCTTACCTTACTCTACAGATCTCATTCCTCTGTATTTGGTATACCGTTTGAGTATCTGCAGTAAATTAGTAAAAAGTGCTGGTTATCCCACTCACCTGGGAAACTCTGTACTACTCCTGGTGGTTTAATAACTGACGAAACTTCCGTAGAGATGCAGACGACTGTTTTGGCTTTCATTAAGTTGTGTCGTATGTGTTATTATTGTTATTATTCCTTTGGGTCTCCAGAGAAACATAAGGCTTCAGTAGCACATCTCCCTCTCATCCAGCCCTCTGCAGTCTTTTTAGTTGACTTTACGAGCTGTCCTTTTCTCCTTACATGATTTCCTCCATGTCACACTGGGACGCCCAACTCGTCGTTTCCCATGTGGGTTCCACTTAAGATTATGCCTGGCGCACGATGTCATTTGACGGCCTCCTCAGGTTGTGTCCTATCCATCTCTACTTGCTTCGGAATATTTGTTGGGCGATAGGTTCTTGGGTGGTTCGTCCTTAGAGTTCCCTGTCGCTAATCCTTTGTGGCTATCTCATATTCAATATGCAGCTAAGGTAACTGTTGATGAGAGTCAGCATTCGCCTGTTTGAAACGCTTTCCCTAACACGTTCTGCAAGCCTCTGAACCATATGTATATAAGCATTGACTTCGCATATATGTAGAGTAGGCGAGATATTCAATTGCACATCAGAACTGGGTGTGAGAGAATCAAGAGTTTTCGTATCCAATGTCACCTCGATAGACAATGAATGAATAATTCATTTCGTTCTTCGTATAACTACGTTTTCCTTTGTTATTGTAGTTCATAGTTACCTGGAAGGATTTCTTCATGTTCCAGGAGATAATAATATCCACTTGACCAGGTTGAAGTAGTTGGGCCGGGATTTGAATCCAGCACCTATGGACTTAAAACCAAGTAATTAAGCCAATAAGCCACAGCTTGACTGTAGTTCCTCTGACTCCCTCCGTCATGTGACTCTATTACAGCACCCATCGAAAAAGCTGGACTGTATTTATATGTTTATTTATTTATTCTTTACTTCTCCTTTTTTATCTGAAAGCATTTTAAGGTAGTTCAGTCATCTTGTTTTCATTCTTGTCCTCATTTTTAACATCTTTTATTTGATATGCATATAGGAGATTCAATTAACGCCATTACGTTATAAATCTAGTTATGTCTGGTGACAATAAATTTGCAATTTGTGTTACACAGAAGAGATTCTTTTCCCTTATACTGGGTTATAGACTATACTCAGAATGGAACACTTCATCATGACGTTAATCATTACCAGTTAAATAAATCGGAATTCGTGTGAATAACTTCCGACAAGCTGTATTTCAAAGTGTGGTTATACGTTTAAATTCCCGGTGTGAATGTTACGTGCGCACATCTTACAGCTTTAGGAGGTGTATGTTAAAGCTCTTTTCGTCTTTGTCGAGTGTATGAAAAGTCGTCATTGTTGTTCATTATAGACTATACGTCTTAGAGATGTTCAATTTTCCGTTGTCATCTTCTGCCATCGACTTCACGCTATTGTGCACGCTATTTCTTATACTTATTCTTCACTTTGTTGCTATATCACTCGTGACGTCATAGATAATATGTCATTGTCAAACAAAGCCATCGCAAAAAAAAGAATTAATCTGCTGAGTAAAAGTATGCAGAATATGTAGACATGAAAATAGAAGATAAAAGTTTGTGTTCTCTCTCTCTCTCACCCACCCCCCCACACACACACACGTAAATGCATCCCGGGACTGTTTCTCGCCAAACTCTTTCTCCATATAGCTCAAATCCTGACATTTTTATGTATGTAGTTGCAAGACTAGTAAACATAAAATGTCTGCAAATTAGCTGAATACGTAATGTGGAAACGGCATTCCCTCTTTCGAATGACATCAGTTTTCTTGTATCAATATCAGTAATAGGATAAATTTTTCGCTTGTGTTTCTTATCTACTATCTTGCCATTTTATCAGTAGTATATTTCCCTTCTGTCTTACCTTACACACGTTAAGGTTGGTGATCTTATTCACTTGGAGAAAAATCAACGTGTTCCAGCGGATATGATTTTGCTATGGACATCAGATCGTAATGGTTCTTGTTTTATACGTACTGATCAATTGGATGGTGAGACTGATTGGAAACTGCGTTATGCTATTCCAACTACACACGCCTATATCAATCGTTTAGGTCATCCAAGTTCACTGTGGGATATGGAGGTAAGTGTGTGTGTAGATGGTGTAGTGTCTAGCTTCTTTTATTGAAAAATTGTTTAGTTGATTCAAACTTGATATAACAGTGAGACTAATTCACACCATAAACAAGTAATAAGTCAATAATGATAGTAATAAAAGATGCTCTGGATGGAGAACTCCGCCCGGAACAAACTGGATTCGGAAACAGGAAATCATGTGTTGGTCAAATTCCAATACTACCCATCATAATCTAGCAGAACATAGAATGGGAGTCAAATCTCTGCTTCAACTTCATCGATTATGAAAAGGCCTTCGATGATAGCGTTAACTTCAAAGTCATTTGAAGACTGCTCAAATACTATTGTGATTGCAGTGCCCCAAGTCTTTATCAATCTCATTCAACAGCTGGCTATGTGACAATGCCATATGTCAAGTGGTCCACAACGGAAAACTCTCACCGAAGCTTTTGAAGTGAAAACAGGAGTAAGACAAGGCTGCTTGCCTACTATCACCGATGATATTCCTAATTGTGGTGAACTAGATTATGCGTCAGACGCTGCTGACAGAGTGAGAAGACAGGAATATGTTGGACCAATAACAGGACTCTAGAAGATTTGGACTTTGTGAGTGATTTATGTCCAATGTCACATGAACTCGAAGACAGACTTATAGGCGGAAACGGACAAGTTGACAGAAGAGGCTGGCTGGCAGCAAGGACAGGACTTCAAGTGAACATAGAAAAGACAGAGGTGATGAAGATACCCATCAACAACAACAAGCACCAATCACCACCATCAGTGGGAGTAATTTCCAAGAAGTCATATCTGTCATCTACCTAGGAAGCATCATTTCAAATACAGGTGGCGTGGATGCAAATGTCAAAGGCAGTTGGGATTGGAAAATCTTCTGCAACCAGCATAAAGAATAAGGTCCTGATTTCCAATATTATTCTATATAGTTCAGAGACTTGGCAAACTTGTGACGAAAACCATTTCCGATAGGTTATTGCGGAGTTCCATCAGCAGCTGCCGTTGCTCCGTACTGAAAGAATTAGAAAGGATTAGCAGCAAGAAAACTCCGTTAACGAACCAACGAAGAACCCGTTGCCCAGCGAATATGCTGAAGAAAATGGAGGAGATGGATTGGAAATACACTGACGAGACCGTTGAGGGACACCACTTGCCAGCCCCTCGAGTAGAGCCTGAATGGGAAACGATTTAAGCTGGGATTTGAGGGTGACTTGGAGGTTTTGGTATGAGGAGGAGGAAGTAGGGGCTTAAGGGTAATCATGGAGACAGTAAAAGAGGACTGTAGAGAACAGGATGAAATGGAGATGTTCTGTTGAAGCCCTATGTTCTACTCAGAATGTAATAGGACAGTTATTATTATTATTCCATTGGGTTCCGAGTGGGACATAGGGCTTCAACAACACATCTCCACTTTATTCTAGTTTCTGCCGTCCTCTTCAGCTGGGTCCACAATTGCCCATAATCTCTCACCTCCTCCTCGCCACACGATCTCCTGCATGTCACCCTAGGACAACCCACTCGTCTCTTGCCATTGGGATTCCGCTCGAGCGATGGTCTGGCGAGTGATGTCATCCGATGGTTTCCTCAATGTATGCCCGATCCATCTCCATTTTCTACTACATATTTTTTGAGCAATCGACTCTTGGTTGGTTTGTTCCCACAGTTTCTTGTTACTAATTCCTTCTGGCCGGCCATTTGATTTTCAGTATGGAGCCAGGGAAGGCAGCTGTTGATGAAAGTCTGCACTGGCCAGTTGGAAATGCTTACCGTGCTACGCAGTGCAGGTTTCTGACTTGTGTTGAAAATCCGGATTTTGTTCCTTATGCTGAGATGGAGTTCAGAAGATTTCCAAACTGGTTTCAGTTTGATGAAGGCATACCTTGCCTTTCCAATTCTCACTTTAACATCTTCATCCGTTCCATAGTTGAAACAATGCTTCCTAGCTAGATAAGTGAAGGGGCTAACCTTTGTTAAATCTTTCCTGTTGATAGCGATTGGTACTGGTTGTTGTTGCTGTTGCTGTTGGTGGTGGTTAGTTATCTTCATCTCCTCCGGCTTCTCTATGTTCACCTGGAGTCCTGTCTTCACTGCTTCTTCAGCCAGTTTGCTTCTGTTTGCATGTATGTTTTCGAGTTTACGTGACGTTGAACATAAATCACTCACAAAGTCCAAATCTTCTAGAGTCTTGTTATCGGTCCAACACACTCCCGTCTTCTCACTCCCTGTATACAGTCTCCCACATAATTCAGTTCAACATAATCAGAAATATCATCGGCGATTTTAGACAAGCAGCCTTATCTTACCCCTGTCTTCACTTCAAACGCTTCACTGAGTGTTTTCCGTTATGGATCAATTGACATTGTGGCATTGTTATATAGCCAGCCAGCTGTTGAATGAGATTGATGCAGATTTGGGGCTCTGCACGCCACAGTACTGAAGTAGTTTTCAAATTACTTCGCGGTTGATGAAGTTAAGGTACAGGTTTGACTGCCATTCAACAGAACAGTAATGCTATTAATAATATTAATCATAATGATGAATAATAATGAACGTTTCGGTCTTGTTGGTAGATTTTAAACATCACTGTATATTCATCCCATTATGGAATGCTATTTGCGATCGTGTGTGCGTGTGTGTGTGTGTGGAAAGCTGATGCATTCTGTGTTGGATCAATTTATCATAAGCATATTTTAATACTTGGCTACATACTCACACACGCACTCATATACACAATGATTGAACTTTTTGATTTCGATAACGCTTTGTTGCGAAATTATACTGTCCCCATTATTAGTGACGCAAATAGTTAGAATTGTTTATGTGCTTTTATCTTATCAATAAACAATTCTTACTATTGGTGTAATCACTGGCGGTAATTTTGCTAGAAATACTACTAAAATAAGAAAGACAACTTGTCGTTGTGTGTATGTTAGTTGTAGTAAATTGCCATTTAGAATTATTCGAATAGGGAATGGATTTCGGAGAGGATTGATTGTTTATTTTGTTTCCATTGCTGTGGCTTTTTCACATTTAAAGTAATTAGAAATTTATAAATAACATTTACTAACGCTAATATTCTCCTAGTGTTACTAATTTTATCCCCACCCCCCGTGTAAGAGTCCCTCCAGAGGTTATTACTTGTATCTACTATTAATTGATTACATAATAGTCATGAAGAGTTGTCTTATCCACAACTAGAAGGGTTTTCATCACTGTCAACAGTCAACAAATGATGAGATGTAAATATTGTAGACGATTGAAATTGAACCCAATAGCTTGAAGCCTAAGGTTGCTTATGCTTAGGTTGTTTGAATCGGTGGTGGGATGCTAGCCAACCATGCACACTTTGGGCTGGGCTGGGTTCGATTCCTGGCCGGTGCGATCCTAAACCTCATTTAACCGGTAGTAAGCCCCCTTAAAGAAGGAGGGTTGGGCATGAGACAGGCAACTCGACCCTGTAAGAAATAACAACCTTTACTGACACTTCAAGACTCAGGCGCGAAGCTGAACTTTCCACTAGAGGGACGCAACGAAATGAAAAAAGGTAATAGTCCAGAAGTAAAGTTGCTTAACTGAATAAACTCTTTGTCTGTACCTCTCTCTCTCTCTCTCTACAACCACTTGCACTAATTTGGTGTTTGCAATTAACCGTACCCGTAGTGTAAAGGCTAACGGTACTTACTTGGCTGCCTTAACCCTGACAGGTGGCTGATAGTTGAGCACACCTGTACTACAAATGAGCCAAATCTCCTCAGATTGCTTGTATCCAATGGCAACACCATATCAGTAGTAGTTCTGTGATCATGTGTCAAGTGGATGGGAGAATCTTTCATTAAATTGCCCAATGACAATAACTTGCTTCCATACCTTGAACATATATTACAGGTGTACTGCAAGTGGCTTCAATACTATTCATTATTCTCCAGCCCTGAGACCGGTTGGTGGGAGATATGTTGGTGTAATCAATCCTTGACGTCTAAGTCGGGTGTACTGAGCTGTTGTTAGTAATTATCATGTATCTCGAACTAGGGTGAAACAACTGTTCTGTACTCCCCGGTCTGCTGGTGGTGGTTCACTTACTGATGCCAGCTAGTGGGCGAACCTGAGTGATGAGGATGCATCATGACTCTTCGGCTAGAAACCGCGAGATCATGTGACGTTATCAGATTTGATTCAGAATCAAAAATCAGTATGAATTGTACTTCAGATTCTCTTGTTTCGTCTACTGTCCGTTTGCATTATTGTACTTAACAAAAACTCTGCGTCAAACTTGTGCTTCGCTCATGAATATTAATAGTAATAATAATAATATCTTAATAACTGTTGATGTTTGTGCTTTTCAGAGACAACCTCTTCTTAAAGTATCTACAGTGCTAACTAATCTCTACCCTTCTTGATATATTATTACACAGTGTGTATATGTGTGTGACTGTTTCTGTATGTTCCTTCACATTGTTAATATACAGTTTTACAGTTAAGTATACCTTATGTACTTTTATGTTACATGTTCACACTATGATTAGATGATTTATCCTTTTCCCTACAACTTCTAACATAATCTTTATGAGATTTGTTGAAGGACCAACAAAAGAGTGCGTCGGCTGGGGATCTAACTCCGGACCACCTGTGTGCATTCTACCGCTGAGCGACCGATAACGACAGTATAACGAAGAAAAGAGGATCAAAAACCGATAAGAAAGGTGATTACGAAAAGTCTGTGAAAATGTCTTACAAGAAAGATACATCAGGCCTGTAAAAATGCTAAGTAAAATCAAGATAGCAGGTATTTTAATTATGTCTAGGTCAATGCATCTAATTTTAGCAATAAACTAAATCAAATTAAAAGATGCAATTAGAAAAAATTAGGCAAAATAAATACATAATGTAATCTATAAAATATCTTGTCCTGAATGCCTGATTAACTATGTGGGTCATTACCTTGACACACTCGTGCTTGTCACAGGTGTTTGTGATAAATAAAATTCTCAGTTTTGCCAATTAATTCGCGATTTGTAAATTTACGCAGTCCGAGAAGGTAAAATTCCATCACAAATTTCTTCATGAACCGTAATTATTGAGATTGCAGTATGTGTAATGATCTGCCTGATACCATCTACGGTAATCAGGAAAGCAAGCATATTTGCATTAAAACTATATATATTACTGATTAATCAACAGTGAGTGGTTGCATACTACCCACATTAACCAGTAGGGCTTGTCGGCCAGCCATTTCGAAGTGGTGTAAATACCGGACTACCGTTTTGCACGTTTTGGGGTCGAACTCATCAGCTGCGCACTTGGTTCGACTCCACTCAGAGGGGCGAATCACAATTCAAATAATTCGCACATATATATCATTGATTGCTTAATAATCTATGCTGTTTAATCTCTATTTACATTTTAGGCTCAAGTGTACGCTGAAGCTCCTAGACAAAATATACACAATTTCGAGGGGACATTTGTTCGTACAGATGTAACGCCTACAACTCCAACTGATTCAGAAGCTGCAGAAGTTTCCCTAAACATTGATCATACTCTTTGGTCGAACACTGTTCTAGCTACAGGCAGCGCTGTCGGTCTGGTGATATACACAGGATCAGAGACACGTGCAGTAATGAATTCAAGTAGAGTGCGTACAAAACGTGGAAAAATCGATCAAGAAATCAATAATATCACTAAACTTCTCTTCTGTATTCTAGTTCTCCTAGCCTTAGTTATGGTTGCACTGAAAGGTTTCACTGGTTCATGGTATAAATATTGGTGGCGATTTATTGTTCTCTTTTCATATATTATTCCCTTGGCGTAAGTGTGTTGTCATTTTTATCCTGTAAAAGAAATACTTATTAACTATAATAATTTTGCGAATTTTTCTTCAAAGTCACCTTTTTTTATTGATCTGCTTTTTTTCACATACTGAGAAAACAATCGATTGGTAATGCGTAGATTGTATCAAATTTTGTTGCTTAAATTCTAATAGATAGACTATAGATAGTGTGTGTACTGTTTCTTGAGATTATTATTACTCCTTTGAAACTCAGGGCTTCAACAGCACATCTCCATTTCAACCTATTCTCTGCAGTGCCCTGTAGCTGGCTCAACGACTGCCGATGAGCTTTCATCTCCACCTCACACGATCTCTTATATGTCATCCTTGGACTCCGGCCCACTTCTTCGTTTCGCATTTGAGTTCTGTTCGATGGCCTGCTTGCCACGTGATGTCACTCAGTGGCCTCTTCAGCGTGTGTTCAGTCGATATCCAATCTCTTCGGGATGTTTGTCAGGCGATACACTGCTGGTTGGTTTGTCACCAGAATTCCTTGTTGCCAATGTTTTCTGGCCATCTTCAGCCTCGCCGCCCGTAGTTGAAACGCTGCTGCCCAGATAAATGAAGGAAGTTACCGCTTTCAAATTCATTCTTTTGATAGTGACTGGTGCTAGTCTAGTTGTCGTTGGTTGTTCGGCTGGTCGTCTTCATCACCTCTGTCTTTTCTATGTTCACTTGAAGTCCTTTACTCGCTGCCTTGCTCTTCTGTCAACTTGTCGGTTTCCGCATATAAGTCTTCGAGCTTATGTAACATTGGACATAAATCACTCACACAATACCAGTCTTCTAGAGTGTTGTTATCTGTCCAACATATTCCTGTATTCTGACTCTCTCAGCAGCATCTGCCTCATAATCTAGCTCACCACAATTAGGAATATCATCGGTGATAGTGGGCAAGCAGCCTTGTCTTACTCCTGGTTTCACGTCAAAGGCTTCACTGAGAGTTTTCTGTTGTGGATCACCACATAGCGGTTGAATGTGGTTAATAAAGGTTAGGGCCACTCCACAGTGTTGAAATGGTTTCCAAGTTAAAAGTTTTCTCAAAGTCAATGAAATTAAGTTTGAAATTCGGCTCCAATTCTATTCTGTGTCCGATTATGATGTGTAGTGTTGCATTTTGATTCGCACATGATTTCTTGTTTTTGAATCTAGTTTGTTCTGGGCGGAATTCTGCATCCAGTGCATCTTTTAGTCTCTCTAGGATGACACGATTTAATATTTCTTTCGGCATGGACAGCAGCATGATTTCGCACTAGTTTTTGCAAAGACTTAAGTTGCTTTTTTTGGTAATTTGACAAGGTAACGTTTCCTCCAGTGCGTCGGTAGCACAGCGGTAGAATGCTTGCTAATAAAGCATGTGGTCTGGGGTTCTACCCCCGAACTGATTTACCTCGCTAAGTCAGTAATAAGACTGGTAAAGAGGGGAGGTTGGGCATGAGGTTAGCAACCCCATCCCGTAAAAATGAACACCACTGCTACCGAAACTTCAGGTCTCTAGCTTGAAGCCCCTATGTTCCACTGGGAACGTAAAGGAATAAAAGACCTTTCTTCCATCCTGACAAACTTTCTGTGATAGTGGCGTCAGCATGTCTACTTAGGTCTCTGAGTCCCTTTTTCGGTGCTTCCGGAGTAGTTGTGATTTCTTACTGCAGGATACTAATGGTGATAATGAACAGTTAGCTGTTGTAAAATCAATCAATCTCTATTCGATATTCATCTATGAGTTTTCATGTTAGAAAGGAAGAGGAAGAAGAAGTGTAGGATTCAGCGACGAATCTCTTTCTGGAATGTTCAATAACATAGTAGCTGAACTGAATTTTCAGTGTAGCAGTTCAGCTTGTAAACTTCATAAAAGCACACATAAAGGTGGAGAATAAATATAAATACAAAGAAATTGTAATAAACGAAAATTTACAGGTGGAAGGATGATTACCTGGAGAATAATGAGTGTTCATTAAGTGTGAGTGCATCTGTGGCATTGAAAACTATTTTGAGCTGTGTCCATAGTGTCCCGAGGACCCCTAGCCAGACAGTTTGCACCTCCTTACATGACTGGCACAAACCAACAATCAAAGACTTCATGGATTGGTGTCATGTTTTGATGGTTTAACCACCTCTAACTCTCTTCCAACCAATCCTATATCAGCTGTCACGAATAGACGAGGATGGCGCTAGCACAATACGCGTAACATGTGTCTTGGTCGATGCACCAATCGCATGTGTCAAAAGTTCATAACCTAACAACACTAGTTTCCCTTAATATTTGTTTCAAGTTTGAGCACGGATTGATTTCAGTTAGAGAACCACTAAAAGCCAACAGGGACTACTGGACGGCTGTTTCGTTTTAGTCTAGGACTTATCAACAGTACGTACCAACTGGGGCTCGAAGTCAGGACCTTCTGGTCCAAGGCAAGGTTGTAGAGCATTTAGCCACTGGGACCCAATTCAATGGTCCGTGAAATCTGACTTCTACTAATTCGTGATACACAGCGCAACCACTAGTCAATATTATAGGCGAGTAACTGTAACCAATCAAATCCCTGGAGAAATATACTTCATAGTTGATCTGATGCTCACTAACGACTGGCTGTATGTCAGAAGTTAGTTACCTGGAGTTCCGGTGAGAAGTCGTAATTGACGGGATCCGTGAAGTCAGGTAAGAGGACATTTACTCACCTATGCCATTGTCTGGCGGTTGATATATATATCGTGAATCGGCGAAAGTTGAAATTCACGGGCCATTGAGTCGGGTCCCAATGGATGAATGGTTTACGGGTTCGCTTCCTAATCGAAAGGTCCCTGTATTCGAATCCTTTTGGGCGCACACTGTTGAAGAGTCGCAAACTAGGACGAAACAGTCGACTGTCCAGTACTCCCAGGTTTACTAATGGTTCTCTAACTGATGTTATCTCGTGACCAAATTAGAATTTTGTTACTACAACTATGTGTTTATTTATTTGATATATTACGTCTAATCTACCAACATTATATTTATTTTAATTTGTACAGATTACGTGTCAACATGGATTTAGCAAAGATTGTTTACTCTTTTATGATTATGCGTGATAGAGCTTTACCAAATTGTCTTGTACGTAACACAAATATACCTGAAGAACTGGGACGTATTTGTTATTTAATGTCAGATAAAACTGGTACACTAACACAGAATGAAATGGTTTTTAAGAAATTACACTTAGGCAGTGTAGCCTTTGCACCAGATTCTATGGAAGAAGTTATACAGGGTTTACGTAGTCATTTTACTACTGGTCCTGGGATTTCATCATCATCAACAGTTCGACGTACAACGAATGAACGTATGGCTGATGCTGTATTAGCTATAGCTATATGTCATAATGTTACACCAATGAATGAGAATTATTCACCTCCAGGTGGAATCGATATCACAGATGGAGATAAAGGAGCTATGGAAATGGTAAGTATTCGTATTTGTCTTCTTTTTTTTTGTTTAATGTTTTATTGATGTAAGTTAAGTGATTATTTGATTGTGTTCGCCCATTTAGGCTGATATCACTCTCTCCCCAAGCATGTGTGGAGTATACCCTTCTATTGAGGAAATACCATTCTATCGTAACTTTCTGGCTATAATCCTGTTATTTATTTTGTTTCCTTTTGAAAGCTATAGATTTTGTTAGATGGTTGAAGGTAATCGTCAGGACACTTTGCCTGACCTAGGTTTCGTGCCTGTTGGTACTCACCATTCATCAAGGCCTATCTACAACTTAAAGGAACTCATATCCCTTTTGGGATTCAAACGTGGGTTACCTCAGTAATGCAGCCAGCGGGGCGTCACTTCTGAGCTATTCGGGCTCGTGATTGACCTCTTGTAGGACTGCAATGTATGCTTTGATTAGACACTAGGCAGTAACCAATGTCATGCGTCGTCTGGCCTCATTGAATTCTATTTCACAGGTTCTCATCAGCTGCTGCAAACTACCTAAAATTCCAATGATTATAAATAATAACATTTCATGCTTCAATGTTTGGAAGGTAATAGCGAAAACATTATAAGATGAACACATCTGGAATATAAGTATCACAGTTATTTTTAGTTTAAGTTACCACCAATTTATATACTATCAAACTATGAAAAAAAGTGGGGGATGGGTGAGAGAAGACAAAAAACAGAAAAATCTAATAAACAGTATCAGCTTGTATGTCAACATGGCAACTCAAGAAGGTTAAAGTTCATCAAATTGAGAACTTGCTTAGTGAGCTGAGCTCACTAGTGTGTGTGGCTAATCAGTGTAATGAGAGTAATACGGTTACCAAGGGAGTGAGAGATTGACTACACTCTCTCTTTATGTGTGCATAAGTTTGGTCTGAGATAGTATATAAATTAGTGGTAACTTAAACTAAAAATAACTGTGATACTTATATTCCGGATGTGTTCATCTTATAATGTTTTCTTCATTACCTTCCAAACATTGAAGTATGAAATGTTATTATTTATAACCATTGTAATTTCAGGTAGTTTGTAGCTGATGAGAATCTGTGAAATAGAATGATGATATCATTTTATACTGCAAATCTGGTCTTTCTTTCTCTATCGAAATTTATCAAGGGAACCAAATGTATGAAATGGAATTCTCTTAGTCAGGTGTGCAGTATGTGCGGGGCCACCATGCTAGGTGGTTCACTGTCACAATGTTCTCTGAAATGTTGTTAGATGATTTGAGTCAATCAGCAGGAAGTCTAGGACCTAGGTTTCGTACTTGTTGGCACCCAGCAGTCATCAAGGTGTATCCACAGTCTTGAAGGAACTCATGTCTGTTTTGAAATTGACAGACTTTGTCTTTTTGTTTTTCTAAAGTTTAGATTCAATGCTTTACTACTTAGTTATATTCTACTAAAGTGAGGTGATTTTATATTACACAGCCTTAACGTGCTTAGAGTGTCAGATGTTTAGAGGGAACTGAGATCGCCATATATGTAAGTATCATCCTCCCTCTAACGTATCAGAAGGACTTGCTTAAAATTTTGGTCAAGTCTCATACTCTATATCTTGAAATTTATCTAATCGTCCATCTGTGTACAATTGGGAAGTCATTGCGAAGCTGTTCACAAGGATTACTGGAACAATTTATACAATAATGGCTACATATTTTGAACCTTCATAGATTTTTCGTAATGTTCTCTATTTAGATATACTCAGCTGTGATGTTATTTATTATTTCCCTCATTTGATCACACCATCAGGTAGAACTTTCTGATCCAGTTGGCTATCAGGCTAGTTCACCAGATGAGATTGCACTTGTCTCATGGACAGCAACTGTTGGCGTGACACTTGTATTCCGTGATTTACACAGAATGCGTTTACGTCTTCCAAATGGTATGTTAATTGTTTTTTCTCTCCTCACTTTTCATTTATTATTCGCTAACTTGTTTATTTTTTTTTTGATATACGAATTTTTGTGTTTTGTTTTTATTGACACACAGTGTGTGTGCACATGTGGCAGTTTGAACTGTCTCGGTTTTTAATCCCTGCTCCTGGATTCCGAATTAAAACTGTCCCCCCTACCCCCAAACTCACTATTCTGTAATGGTACACTAAGCCGATAAATTTGGAAGAAAAGAACAAGAAACTCAGAAAAGATAAATTATCGTTTCGGCGATTTCATTCTCAATAGTAGCTGTAAAATCGCATTTTTATACATGTGTCCACATAGCTACAGTTACTACTTAAATTGGACATATTAATGAATGGAGGAAGGAGACTTTAAAGGAGACAGTAATTTTCAACCTGATATGAAAGTTTGTAGGTGGGAATATAGAGATTACAAGAGGATTAAAAACAAAATTACACAGGATTTTAAAAGTAGACGCGCAGTATGTAAAATGGTGTTCAACAAAGACAAATGTGAACGGAATTCAAATTGAAATAATAGTTTTTATGACTGAAAATGAAAAAAAGTGAAGGGAATTAGGAAAATGAGACACAACTAAGGAGTCAAACAGAACTAGATCCATGGTGTAAATGTAGAGATTCGACTGGTTCCTTTCGAACACTTAGTTCCAGCTTTTCAATGTATTTGGCAAGAACTTCTGCAGTACAGAAGAAGTTGAAAACACACTGCATTTGGTATATTTTTGTCCACTTTTTAAATGTTATGGCAGGTGCCGACGATTTGTTCAGTTAGAGCGTTTCTGGTTGAACCAGTGCCACCTGTTTGCAGCATATTCTGTGAGTAGTGTTCTCTAACACGTTTTGAAAGGTCCCGCATAAAACAACCTAGCTTCAGAGGAGCGGGTGAATTGATATATACACATTAGAGTGGTCATATGTGGGTGTTTGTTTTTCGAGTAGCTTAGAAAAAGTGTTGTTGAAGGAGAGGTATTTACTTTAGGGAACTAGAGATTCTCCTCTTTAGGTGGGATATCTGCTGCTAAGTCCTCCCTGAAGTCGGGGTTCATATACAGTATTTTCTTTAGTTTGGCAGTAAACTGCATTCATCCTTTTTTGGCTTTGTTTTTGTATTCTTCTCTAAAACCCGTTCCGGGTATCCATTTTCAGCCAAGAAAAGTAAGAGGTCTTCTTCTTCTAAGCAGCCGGTGTTTCGGATTCTTCTGATACCTCTGGCATACAAAAAAAAGAAAGAAGACAAAGTTCAAAGACAAAGAGGGTTCAATTAGAATGATAGATCCTTCAGAATAAAATACTCCAGTGATACTAGACAATTACAAATACTAATTCGTCACACTGTGTTGTGTCTCCCTTATCAGTTGTTTTTGTCCTCTAAGTGGGTGGGCATTTTCTACGGAAAAGGCATAAAAGCATTCTCGTATCATATACTCAAGACATCTTTCAAATTTAAGTTATTTATTTATATTTATTTAAACGTAGAAAAAACTTGGTACAATATGGCACCAAGAAAGATGCGCCACACAGTAATAATAAAACAACATAGATTAAAAGTAAAAATATAAGTAGAAAACGGATAAAGAACTTCATCAGGAAGGAAAAGTCATGTTTAACAAGTTCAAACAGTATTCGTTAACTATCATCAGGAAGGGAAGAAAGAAGGAAATTGCAACACGTTCGCCATTGATTACGATTCTTGGCCATATCCGATAACGTTTCGAGCCATCGATTCGAGCTATCTCGCGGACCCCAACCAGGGAGTCGTGATGCACCAACCGATGCTAATCTAGCACAAAAATCCTTCATCCCACGACGCCACGTCATGGACTGACCACCCCTCCGCCTTTCCCATCCCGTCTCAGGGCTAGCGAACAGAGACCTGTACGGAAGCCTCTGGGATGACATTCGCAGCACATGTCCAAGCCACTGGAGCCGGTGTTTCCAGATGACGACACTCAATGAGTGGTGATCTCCACTGTGTTCAAACACACGCCGCCGAACCTCAGAATTACTCACGCGATGATGCTATCGAACGCAAGCAATCCTGCGGAGACAGCGATGATCGAACACGCAGAGTCGCCTCACATCCTCAGCTCGGAGAAGCCAGGTTTCACAAGCGTAGAGCAGAACAGCCCGCACCGAAGCATTGTTTACCCGACCTTTGACAGCCAGGCTAACGTCGCAACGGCGCCAGAGGTGGCTCAAGTTGACGTATGCCACCCTAGCCTTCATTATACGGTTGGAAATCTCATCCGTCACCCCTCCGCCAGCACTCACACAACTACCCAGATACATAAAGTTATCAACAACTTCAAGCGGTTCACCCGCAAGAGTGAGTGCAGGTACAGGCTCCTGTCAATCTTGTAACAGTACTTTGCACTTAGACGGTGCAAAGCACATACCATACTTACAGACACTGATCACCAACTGATTAAGTGCGATTTGGGCAGCCTGCATGCTATCGCACAGTAAGACGATATCGTCTGCATACTCGAGGTCGAAAAGTCTATCTCCAGGTAGCAGATCTACACCACCTTCACGCACATCTTTCAGAGCTGACTCCAGAATGTCATCGATGGCAAAGTTAAAGAGAAATGGAGATTTACGTGTGATATGATTTATTTTATTTTCAATAATTCTACCTTGTTCTTGATTGTTTATTCATGAATAATTATTTTCCTCTTTTTTACCCTCTTTTGGTATCTTCAGGCTCTATTGTCGAATATGAAATATTGAATTTATTCCCATTTTCATCGGAATCTAAACGTATGGGCATCATTGTTCGTGATTATTCGTCAAAAAGGATAATATTCTATGTGAAAGGCGCTGATACAGTTATGAGTAATCTGGTCTCCTATGTTGATTGGTTAGACGATGAAGCTGGTAATTTAGCTAGAGAAGGTTTACGTACATTGGTTGTCGCCTCACGTGTTCTAACAGAGGAACAATACAATGATTTTTCGAAACGGTAAATTATTTTATGTCTATTTATTGATGGTAAAAAATTTCCGACTGAAGATTGTCAGTGATGTCGATTATTGTTATTATTATTCCCTTGGGTTCTGAGTGGAACGTGTGGAGGAGGCTTCAACAGCACATCACCATTCCATCCTGTTTTCTGCAGTCCTTTTTATCTGGCTGCATGATTACCCATTAGCTTTCATCTCCTCCTTCTCCTCTGTTTCCTTCATATCACTCTTGGATGCGCACCTCGTCATTTCCCATTTGGGTTTTACTCAAAGGACTGCTCGCCATGTGGCGTCACTCAACGGTCTGATCACAAATGTTGGTTGACTTTGTACAAATTCTAGTTTGAATGTATGTGGAGTAATCGATACTGTTAACTGCAATTCTGCTTAATTACTTCACGCCTCTTTCTTCAATTCTCAGGATCTATCAAATTTGTTCATCATTGTAATTCTGAGTAACATTAGAATGTGTTTTGCCAGTGCATATGTATAACTTGAGACCTTGTGGTATTATAATGTAATTCCATATTAGTTTTGTTTATTGGTATGGATAACGCAGTGGAATAGCATCATTTACTTGGATGCAACTTGCTGTAGACTCGGTATTATTTAGTGGTTTTCTCCCATCATTAACCCTACTTCCAACGAAATGGGACTGAGATGAACCGACATCCAAGTGACGACTTGTATGTGTGTGCGTGCATTCTCCAACGCTAACTGACTTCAGCGACGTAGTCTTGTTGACTTAGAAATGGCGGATGAAGATGTTGAAAAAATTCAGAGTCTTCTGAGTATCTTGAGAAGAAATCTTCGGATGTTTGGCATACCATTTGCTCTTGTTGAATGTAAGATGATGTCATAAGACTTGACTGTTTTGGCCCCTAGCTTAAAGATACACAGGAGCTAAGTGGTAGAGCGTGTTGACCACTACACTTATTTGGAAATTTGCATCAGACCCAGAGGCTTGATTGGTGATGAAGTCTCATCACGGATACGAAGGGCTCATTTAGCATCTGTCAACTGATGTTGTCTCTAGCGTAGACGTGATATTCGTCTATCGATCGTAGAATATGCGTACTGTGCGCCATTTCTCTCCGTCCTTCTCTGTAGCTATAATTCATATGGCCATTGAAGGTGGAAGAGGTGAAAAGGCCAACTGCCTTCCATCACAGGTGTCTGCTTTGTGTCTCCCATGTTAAGTGGTATGATAGAGGGGAGTAATATTGAGGTTAAGCGTCGAATGTTAGGTGAGGAGGGGAAATCAATCCACGAGGCTGTAAGTTACACCGATTGAGATGGCTGGGAAAAGTGTTACGCATTCCTAGCCATCACCTTCATCGACAATGGGCAATGTTAGCTGACATAGGATCAGGTTGGAAAAGAAGTTAGCCAGTAGTGGTCAAATGGAAACATAAAACAGTCCATAAAGTCTTTGACAGTTAGTTTGAGCCAGCCACGAACGGGGGTGTAGACTTCCTGATTGCGATCCTCGGGATGATAAGAATCAATGACTAGAGAAAAGTGGTGATATGGCTGAAAATCGTTCTCAATGACTCAGATGCACTCACTCTGAGTAATCTGTCATATCCCATTGTTTTTCCATGTTATTAATATTTCTTCCTCATAATTTTGTATGGTATTGTTCTTTCAAATATCTTTTTCTCTCTTGTGTTCTACATGGAGTGTGTCAAGTTAAACTGCTGCCCTTCTATGCAAAGTTCTGTGCTGCAGCCAATTAGTCAGTTAGTCAGAAGGTTTTCTGTTCCCCTGTGAGATTGGTACTTAGTCTGTATGACAGTAATCCTTTTTCTGTTTTGATTTCATTCGTTGTATGTCAGTCTCTTGAATACTTTTGTTGATATGATAAAGAATATGTGCTGCTGGAGAAATTGCACTGTTGGGGTAGTAGTATTCGTAAGACAGAAAGAGTTACTTTGAAATGACAATATGTAATTTAAAATTGATTTTTAACTCGTGGTAATATACACATACTTTGCTGACGAAGTTAGCTTTTTAGACATATGATTTTACTATCCCCCCTCCCCCTCCCCCAGAGATTTCTTTGGTCTTTACGGGTTTACGTCACTGTTCAATTCCAGTGCTTAATTATCACTTCATCATAGCATGTTTGTTCTCTGTTCCATGAATAAAAAAAGATTTTTAATTGCATCTATTTCACATTACAATAGTTAGTGTGAAGAACAAAAGACCAGTGAAGCTCGAAGACAGTGTTTATTAGGACAAATGCATTGAATTTGGTACATAAATTTGGTATACCTTATCTTTAAGTCTTTATTTGCACATCATTTGCAAATTGGTCGAATATCACCACATTCGATAGCTTGTTGTATTATGCACAGTGTTTCTAACGTTCTTCTCATAGTTCTCTCTTCTTCGATTGCTTTTTCCAGTGCCCCAAAACGTATTGTTACTTTTCTGAATTCGTTTACTGATATATTACTTATATATCTGATTATAAGTAGAACTTACCACAGTAGTATTTTCAAGTGTATAATGTGATGAAAATTATTAACTGCTGTCAATAATAAATGTATAATGGACATCATTTTTGAAGAGAGAAATTATTATCATTATTATTATTATTGTAACCTTTAATTCCTAGAGGAACATAGGGCTTCAGCCATGCGTCTCCATTGCGTTCGGTTCTCTGCTAGAGTTTTCACCTGGCTCCAGGTCTGCCCACACGTTTTCATCTCCTCTTCACATGACCTCCTCCAAGTCACCCTTGTACTGACGACCAACTCGTCGCTTCCCTTTCGGGTTCCACTCGAGCAATGGCTTGTCTAGTGATGTCACTTGATGGTTTCCTCAGTGAAATACACACGTCAAAATAGCATAGAATGTTGTCCTGTACACTTTTGTATTCTCTTTGACTCACAATATTCTGTATTTAGTCAGCCCGGAAATGATGTATCAAGGTAACCCGCAAGTGAAAGATGAAAACGGGAGAACGAGGAGAATAAAATGTGTTATGTCAGGAGGAGTAGTGGTGGTGATGTAGTTACTCTTCTTAAGCTGGAGGATTTAATTGAGAAACTCTCATTGTCCTTCTGAACAACATCGGTCCAGCGCAAACTTCAATAATATGAAGTGAACTTATTTGAATTCTATTATTATTATTATTATTAGGTTCCTAGTGGAACATAGGGCTTCAACTACACTTCTCCACTTGCTTCTGTCTTCTGCTGTACTTTTCACCTGCATCCATGTTAATCCATACCGTTTCAACTCCTCTTCACACGATCTCCTCCATGTCACCCTTGAACATCCCACTCGCCGATTCCCTTTCGGGTTCCACTCGAGCACTGGCCTGACGCGCGATGTCACCAAGTGGCCTCCTTAGCGAGTGTCCAATCCATCTTCACTTTCTCCTGCATATCTGTTGGGCGATTGGTTCTTGTTTTGTTTGTTCCCATAGTTTCTTGTTGGTGATTCTTTCGGGCCATCTGATCTTCAGTATAGAACGAAGACAGTTGTTGATAAAGGTCTGCAACAGGCTGTTGGAAATATTCTTTGTGACACACTGGCCAAGTTTCTGATCCGTATAGAAGAACTGACTGACTTGACGTTTGTATTGAAAATCCGAATTTTGTTGTTGATTCAGGCTGAGTGACGAGGATTTCCAGATTGGTTTCAGGTTGATGAATGTGTTTCTCGCCTTCCCGATCCTCGATTTGACATCCTCGTCCGTTCCTCCTGTAGTTGAGATAATGCTCCCTAGACAAGTGAATGAAGTAACCTTTTTCAAATCCCTCCCGTTGATGGTGATTGGCTCTGGATGTTTTTGCTGTTGTTGTTGCTGGTTGGTTGTTTTCATAACCTCCGTCTTGTCTATGTTCACCTGGAGTCCTGTCTTTTCTGCTTCTTCGACCGGTTTGTCGGTTTTCACTTGTAGTACTTCGATTTTGTGTGACGTCAAGCATAAATCATCCGTGAAATCCAGGTCTTCTAGGTTCTTCACGCCTCGCCTAGATTACTAGCTCGCTAGTTTTCTAGCCGGTCCCAAGCCCGGATAAAGAGGGAGGGTTGGGGCGTTGTGTTAGCAATTCCACTCCCAAAACTTAACCAAATTGCTACAGAAACTTCAACGCATAAATATATTTGAATTCTACATATATGATAATATGTTTGTATCTCCTGACAATCTTTTTCGTGATTGGTTGTGCATTTGCATTAGTATTGGATCGTTTTTATCGATCAAAGTGGGCGTTCCCTTCGATTCCGAGTCCACAGACACAAAATAACTGTTAAAAGATAACACGACATGTATTTTTTCTTATATCGATGCATGTAGACAAGCACGGACACCAGTTTAATTGAGAAAATGTAAACATTTCAAACCGTGGAAACAAAAACTGTACCAGTGAATTCCTAGAAGCCTAATACTTAGACGGATTTTCAACTCGAATGTCAAGTCATTGCAACTTATTATACGGATCAGAGACTTGATGCGTTACGAACGTCACTTCTAACAAACTACAGACCTTCATCAATACTATTCAAGATCAGATGGCCAGAGAAGATCAGCAATAGTGAGGGATCTCTGGGACCGAACCAATTGTGCAACAAATAAGCAGGAAGAAATGGAGGTGGATTGGCTGGCCATACTCTGAGAAAACAAACCCTCATCAAGTGACATCCATAACACGCCAGGCCATCGCCCGAGTGAAACCGAAATAAGAAGTGGCGAGTTGGTTGTCAGTGAGAGGGTGACATGGGGGGAGGTGATGCAAAGAGGCGATGAAAAAATGTGGGCAGACGTGGAGCCAGGTGAAAACGTTGGCAGAGAACCGAACGCAATGAAGACGTGTGGCTGAAGCTCTCTGTTCCTCTAGGAATTAAAGGAAACAATAATAATAATGATACTCATACAAGTTAACAACTAATCACAACACATGTTGTTAGGATCTACGATCATATGATTATTTATTCATGGTGAATCCAAACGAGTTTACTGCATATTGAAGTTTGCACTGAAGCAATGTTGTCTAGATGGACAGTGAAAAGCCTTACAATTTAACCACTCACACACACGGACGAGAAGACCTATTCCATTATATTTCATATGATTCATTCTAACAGTTACAGAAACTATTTCAATTAGGTGCCGTTTATTTGTTTGCTCTAATCACCTTCAAATGTATTCAATTTAAACAAAAGAAAGTATTATCACTACTATAGTTACCAGGGCATATTGAAATGGTAAATAGACACTTATGGTATGTGTATACATACTATGGTTGATTTCTATTTCAGAGATACCGTGTATCCCTAGCAGTACACTTCTCATTCGATTGACTTTCGCATCCCGAGAGAAGTACTTTAGAATCATTAAAAATAATGGAACTGTATACCACACTTCAACTCTTTCCTGTACTACAGTCATATAACAACAATATGACTAGACTTGATACACTTCATAAGGTGAAAAAGCAAACATGTTTTTTAAGCTTTTCAACACATTATTATTATTATTATTACTACTATTATTGTGCTCAAAAGAAGAAGAATGTCTATTGATCACCGAGTATAGTATTTCTATGGTGTTGGTCTTCTTTTTCTTATTTTTTCTTCTTCTTTAAACTGCTTGTCTGTTTATGTATACACGTGATCTTATTGATATACTCACGGGTTGTGTTGCCTTCTTTGCGAATCTCTGTGTGGGTGTGTGCGTGTATGTGTGCGTGTATGTGTGTGGGTGTGTGTTTGCGTGGATTCGTTCACATATGATTCATGTGCTTTTGAGAGGAGTTACTTTTCTCTTTATGTTCTAATAGCAATAAGTAGCAATAGTGGTTATGTAATTGGCATTGATCAGTAAGTGAAACCCTAGAGATTTAAATAAAAGAATAACTCTTCTCTTTAGTAGACTTATATCATTTCATGCATTATGTATTATCCAGACAACCTACCGAGATATAATGCCTTGTTCTTTCTAACTGAAAACTAAGTAGAATCCATATACAGTTTCTGTTTAACTTCATCATAGATATGCTAATGGAAGTATCCTTAACTGAACTTAACGACTTAGGAATCGACTTGCTACCAGGGAATAGTCTTATGGACTTAGAATACGCAGACGACATAGTCCTGTTAGGGGAGGATGCTGACAAAGTGCAGAGTCTTCTGAACACCTTGACCAGCAATCTTTGTATGTTTTGCATGCGATTCGCCCCTGTAAAATGTAAGATGGTGCTACAGGACTGGACTACGTCAACTCCTAGCTTAGTGATAGGGAGTGAAGTGATAGAACATGTTGACCACTTCACTTATCGGGGTAGTTGTATCAGCACCAATGGATTGATTGGTGGCGAAATCTCAGCACGGATCCAAAAAGCTCGGGCTGCTTTCGCTAACTTACACCGTCTCTGGCGTAGGCGTGACATCCGGCTGTCAACCAAGGGACGTGTGTACTGCTCAGCAGTTCGCTCTGTCCTTCTCTATGGCTCTGAAACATGGCCGATACGAGTTGAAGACATGGCCTCATCGATCCATGAAATCTCTGACAGTTAAACTGAGTCAGGTAGGGAGATGCAGACTTCCGGGTTGGGGCCTGCCCTCGGGACTCTAAGAATCAATGGCTGGAGACAATAGATGATATGGCTCAAAATCGTTGTCAATGGCTTACGCAGATGTATTCAGTCTCTGTAATCTTTCATATTCCTTTCTACCATTACTCATTCTGTTTCACTCTTATACTTGTCAAAACTCAATTGATTCTCTTCACTCATTTTCTGGTCTACCTTTGTGTGCTGTTTGGAACGTGGCAACTGGAACTGCTGCACTTCGGTGCCAAGTTCTATGTTGAATCCAGACAGACATATTCAGTGGTGTGCGTCAGTGGTTCATTGGTAGGATTGGTTGTCAGCCACTTATGTCGGTCGGGTTCGATTCCCGACGGATGCACACCTCAACTTTACCTAACCTGTAGGTAATAAGCCTTGAGAAAAGGGAGTGTTTGTTGGGCATAAAATAGCAGCCTACACCCTATAAATACAATATCACTATCGCCGTAATTGTAAAGGTTGAAACCCTGTCTATGTTCCTGTAGAGAAACTCAAAAGAATGAAAAAAAAGACATTCAGTAGTATTTTGATTGAACAATAGTTAGTTAATCGTATATCGTATATCTAGTCGTTTGTACGATGCAGACTGAATTCTATCAGTCAAGTTTGCAATTTGGCCATCATACTACTAGGTGGCTCGCCATTGTTGATATTAGATAGTTGGAGGCAATCGGCAAGAAGCCTTGCTCGACCTAGGTTTCGTGCTAGTTGTCACTCGTTAGTAAGGCATATCTGCAATTTTGTAGGAACTCATATCCCTTCTGAGATTCGGAACCGTGTCATCCGGTTCTTCACAGGGAGATAGAGAGGTTACGGCCGAATTATTCAGACTTATGGTTGTCCTCTTGCACCGAACAAAGAACTAGATACAGAGCAGTAGTTACTAAGTGAAACTATGCAATACAGTCCTACAGGAGTTCAATTGCGAGCCGAAATAACTGAGCAGTAATGTCTCTGACTGCAGAACTAGATGATGCCATCTTGAATCTTAGGAGGAACATGGGTTCCTTCAAGATTGCAGCAGATACGCCTTGCTGACTGGTGAGTGCCGGCAAGGATGAAACCTAAGTCAGACAGGGCTTCCTGTCGATTGCCTCGAAACAATCTAATAATGACATACAATTGTACCTGGTTTCCAACTACATGGCAATGCAAATATAATTAATTTTGTTCGCTTATTTTTTAGACTTTCCTACTTTTCATGGTACATGTAGTTAGGAGTACTGATTTCCAGTGCACTAAACACTTCAACTCATTTAGCTCTTCGTTGATCGAGCACTACTTTACCGTGCTATATTAACCTTTGTTTCAGGGTATTCGCAAACATATCATTGGTATAATAGTCAAAATCGTCCCATATGGCGACATTGAGTTCTAAGTCATTGACTCACTGGTGTGATGTGCTTGCCTTGTGACTCGAGGGTCCTTGGTTCGATCTCTAGTGGGTTCCATGCATACTCACTTCCTAGATTAGGATGAGTAAGTCATTCAGCGCTCCTGTGTTCACGAGGACTTTCTAACTAATGTTGATTTATAGCAGTTTTGATTACTAGACAGTTGTTTCGTCCCAGCTTGCGACTCTTCATCAGTACGAACTCAGGATCTTCCATATACAAGGCAAGCTCGTGGACCATTTAGCCACTGAAACCTGGTCCAATGGCCCACGAATTCCAACTTCTGCCAGTCATCCTTTCATTGCCGGAGTTCCTCGATGTGCATGTTATCTGACATAGGATCAAGTTGGAAAATAGATAGTGGTGATCAAACCCAAAATTTGGAAGCGGTTCATGAAATATATAGCGCAGCCACCAAACAATGTCGTAGGCGAGTAGCTATTCTCATATATGACTTGGTGAACTCCGCTGGTTAGTCTGATGCTCACTAGCGACTAGCTGTATGCAGGAAGTTACCTGGAGTTCTAGTGAGAAGTCGTGATCAGTATGGTCCACCTGGTCGGGAGTGAGGGCAAATACTCGCTGAAGACATTTGCTAGTGGTCGAGTTAAAATCACGAATCGGTAGAAGTTGGAATTCATCGGCTGGTCAGTGGATTGAGTCTCAGCGGCTGAATGGTCTATGAGCTCACCTTGTAACCAGAGGGTCCTGGGTTCCAACCCTTATGGGTTTGTACTTCTGAAGAGCCGCAAACTATGACAAAACAGCCATCCAGTACTCTGTGGTTTTCCAGTGGTTCTCTAACTGATTTCAGTTCGTGAGTGAACCTGTAGCCAAACCAACACGTGATATTATTGATTCATGACGAAACATATACTTAAAAATCAATCAAATCATTACAGACGTAACATTTTGAAAGGTATTTAGCCAAACGACACTGTAGAACCTGAAAACTTCTGGCAATATGATATCCAATTCCACTAGTTATGCTGTAACTTAAACGGCATTAACCCAGATCTTCCCGGGTTTGATTCAATATTGAGTTGTAAGTGTGCATCAATGATGAGTGCTCATATTTTCCAAAGATTTTCTGGGGATGATAAAAGTGTGGAGTAATTTTCTCGAAGATATTCCTATTTGTAGAATCCCACTTTTACTTGTTTTTGTTTTCCTATTTTCAGATATCATATTGCAAAAATGTCTTTAACTGATCGTGTCGAGAAAATGCAATCAGTTGTAGCCACTTTAGAAACAGATTTAGAAGTTCTCTGTTTAACTGGTGTTGAGGATAGACTTCAAGATGGAGTAAGTTTAGACCATATGTATTATTATAAATAGTAGTAGTAACAATAATAATAATCATTAGTCCCAAGGGTTCCGAGTGGAATATAGAACTCTTTAACAGCACGTCTCCATTCCAACCTGTTCTATACAGTTCTATCTAGCTGGTGGCTCCACGACTGCCTATGATCTCTCACCTCGTCCTTGTCACTCTTGGACGCCCAAGTTATTGTTTTTTTTTTCTGTTCGGGCTCCACTTGAACTCAACGGTCTTCTCAGAGTGTATCCAAAGCATCTCCGTTTCTTTCTGCGTATTTGTTGGACTATAAGTTCTTGATTGTTTCGTTGCCAGAGTTCATTGACGGGTGATATTAGCTGACATAGGATCAAGTTGAAAAATAGATAGTGGTGATCAAACCAAAAACTTGGAAACGGTTTTCATGAAATCTTTGACAGTTAGTCTGAAGCATATATGGAGGTGTAAGCTTCTTGGTTGGGGTCCTTGTGAATTTAAGAAGCAATTGCTGGAAACTATATGTGATATGACTCAAAATCTTTGTCATTAGCGAAAATGCATTCACCTTTTGTGATCTCCTATATATATGTTAAACCATAATCGGCACATTTCTGCTAATAATCGCTCTTTTAAATCCCATTTTCTACCTTTCTTCTGTCTTCCTTAGTGTGGTACATTGAGTGTGTCAAATTGGACTGGTGCACTTCTGTGACGCTTTAACCTGTACTGACCTTAAATCAAGTGGCTTACACCATGCCATTCAGGATATTCTTGGAAATCTTATTCCTTACTTTAGCTATTCCCTTTTCCCCTGAAAAGTTTCTTGCAATGGAAGACGTCACTATTATAACGTTTTACAGCGTATAATAATTACACACAGAGAATGTTTTCTTGCCTATTAATGTGAGTAGCATAGAACTACTGGTATTCATTCTTCTTTCCTCCTTCGGCTAGCCAGGCTTGACGGTGTTCCAGTGTATGTTCATGGATATTTGACTGTGACTACTGTTTCATTGCGAGTCTTGAAAACGACATCTTCGATGGTTCGGATCTGATCAGTCAATTGCACATCTACAAAAGATATGTAGGATGATACTTTTATAATTTGTGGATAATTTCCTTGACGCCTATAACGCGACACACCCTTCGATAAAATTTACTTTAAAGCGAGAATCGAACCTGTCCTTTCCATTTCTGCGTGTGCATCCCCCTAGACAATTCGATTCACACATTCGTATGATGGAAACCAATATGGACTAGACAGTTTACTAACTTCTAGAGTTTTGTTTTCACTAGTCAGAAAGCAAAACTGGCTACATTCTTTATGCTCAGGAATTAGAAAAAAAATCTGTCTGTAAGAATAGATAGAGAGAAATTAAATTAAAATTTCTACACGATACCCTACTGGAATGGGAAACAGATATTGACTGAAACGTGAGAGTAAAACCTCCGTCGGTGAAGATTGCAACTGTTGTTAAGAAAACTCCCTTCGTGAGCCTAGAATTCGAAGCAGTAATTCTTAGAAACCGCCTATCCAAGTGTGTCTGAAGAAGACATTTCCGTTAGTCGCCTAGGAAATCACTTTCTCCAGTGAGTCGTTAAGGATAGGATACCGCTCTTGTCCACCTGAATGTATACTTATCAATTTAATTGTTCCTGTGGAGTAAAGTGTATCGACCGTAGACAGCGTCAAGTCCACAAAAATATTTGGGAACACTTCCCAGCCTAGCTAGAGGAGAAAAGAAGAATGCCAGTGGTTATATCCTCGTGTATCTTATCAAATCTGGGCATTGGGCACCCTTGTATGATTGCTTCACATTATTAGTGTGAACACGTTAAAAACCATCTCTGGTTTAGTACTTGGTCTCCTCCCATTAGATAGATACAAAGGTAGATTGATTGATATGATTTTATTGGAAAATGTGTGCACCGTATGTTTAATATTATAATAAGTGAGATCGACTAACTCTTCTTTCATATATTATCGTTATTCAGCACAGTTGAGCATAATCAATCGCTTTGACTGCTCACGCTAAAATTAGAAGCTTTCATATTGTCCATTTTACTAGATTTGGATATGCCTTACCTTTGGTGTGTATTTTTAATTTTTCCCTTGTTAAATTCTACTTTTATTCTCAATAAATATTTTAGGTTCGTCCAGCCTTAGAAGCTTTAAGAAATGCTGGTATACGAGTATGGATGCTGACAGGGGATAAACTTGAAACAGCTGCTTGTATTGCTAAATCTTCCCGTCTAGTTGGTCGTGATACGCCTATGTATATATTTCAACCAGTCAGTGGTCGAATGGAAGCTCATTTGGAGTTGAATGCCTTCCGTAAACGTTGTGATCATGCCCTGTTGATAACTGGAACATCAATGGAAGTAAGTGATGATATATATGTATATATATATATATATACATATATATTGTGTTATTATAGTGGGTTAAATAATTTGTTATGATTTGCCAGAATGACAATCTCTTCAGCTGTATGCTATGGGCGAATATGAGGACCACTAGAAAGATTTGATGGAATGCTTATGAATCACCCTGAATGCTCTTTCGTTTTCTCCACTGGGTGGCCTCTATTAACCAGATGAGGCTAAATAGAACTTGAGATGATTTTTATGTATAATAATAATTATAGGTCTACTCTGCACAAAATGTTAACACAATATATAGAATTTTCAGTGTAGTCTGTTGCGTAATACTTTCCTTTCATCCGGGATCTCCAAGCAAAACAGCAGTCTAAAATACGTCATGTGATGCAGTGCCGTTCGATCTGAAGAATAAATTAATCCCTTCTAGTATTCTTCTTTCGTCGTCGTTAAGAGATGAGCAATATTAGCTCGAAATCCAACTGAAAGTGTGCACGAGTACGTTTGGTAACCCACAGACATCGTTGAATATGGCTAAAACAGGGGGAAACAGAAGACTTTATTCATTATATTGCATGGAAACCAAGGTAGCCTAGTGATTGAAGCATGCTGCCGTATATTATCAAATGTGACTTCTACTTAAACCATGATGGGACATGCTCTTTGAAATGGTGACTAAGTTGTTCTGTTGTACTCACAATTTTAACTGTCTCCACAAAAGCAATTGTGAACTGATAAATACATCCGGATGTAGCTGAACTCTGTGGCTTATCTTTAGTTTGGCTGGCAGTCAGTTAAATGGTGGTGTGGTGAGAGCTGTCTGCAAGAAAAAATTGGTAGACAGCAATTTATGTCAATGTTTACGTCCCAAATCGGGGTCATGTGAAATAACAAGAACAAAGCTTAACCTTGAGGAACTCAACAACCAATCACAGTAGACTTAGCTTGGGTGGATACGATTCGCAGATATATCACCGGACTGTCTAAGAAACGGCAACAAACAGATGATAGAATAACCTTTAGCAAGAAAACAACCAATCAGAAGACGTTGCTTCTCTGCTAGTAATAACGAATAATAATGTACATAAAAATCTATAAATATCTGTTGATTTTCCCAATAAACGATCTGTTACCTGGCCCTTGTCTTCTGTCGTTACAGTGGTATAATGTATGTTTCCAGACTGGTGATAACCTCAGGACAGGCTGCTAGAAACCGATGGCTAGAGGCTGGTAGTAAATCGTTTACATCGACTGTTTGTCGTCGTCGTCTGTACAATTTTTATATCTGTATTTCCGTCTTCAAGTGTGCTTTTTAGGAGTGTGACAAATTCGACTGATGCATTTGTCTATGGGAGCTCCTACGTTAACTTGTCAATCATTCACTCTCTGTGTCACAGACATCGAAATCGTGATGAAGTGAAATATCTACCTGTTTCAATTTAGAATGCAGAAATATTAAGAGATTGCCTTGGTTTTTGTTCGTTCATGTCCTTTTCTTGGCCTTAAGTAATAAAAATTGCAATGTTATTTGGTGAAATTATGCGCAAGTAAAGTTTCTGGGACGGGTTGGTGTTGCATTTCAGAGATAAATACAACTTTTGTTTATTGAGACCAATATTCGAAGTGACTACCATGTTTTCTTCCTTTCAAATTACTGGTTGAATTGTGCGCACGCTATATTGTGTCGCCACGGTAACTGGGAGAGATCATTGGGTTTTTCAATTTATGTCTAGTCATAAGCTACGGACGGATATGTGAATGATTTCAAAGATATAAGTCAATCGATGAGATTGTGAAGCTACATCGATCGAGGTCACTGGGGAGACGTGTTGTGCATGCCTAGTCACATTGCCTTCGTTGGCCAATGTTAGCTCTCATTGAATTACGCTAGAGAAAAGTTATGAGTGACCAAAGCAAAATATAGCACTAATCCATGAAAACCATGAAAACTGAGTGGGTTAGCCACGTAGGGAAGTGTATTTAGCCTCATCGAGGTGTGAAAAACCAATGGTTGGAGATTGTTAGCGGTATGGCTCGAAATCAACCTAGAAGCATTCACTCTGTGTAATCTCCCATATCCGTTAAGTTCTCGTGATTTTTTCCATGTTACTTTTCTTTCTCCCTCACATTTTGGTTGATTATTTTCATACATTTGTTTGCTTCTTCAGCCCCAGCCTTCCCTGCTTGCCGGGCTTACTGCCAACTAAGCGGGGATGAGGGGTGAGTCAGCCAGCGACCACTGAACCCTATATCTGTGTAAGTGGTTGGCGAGTATTCAACCACTGAACCACTACCGACGCACTTTGCTGGTTATAGTCCTTTTGATTGTGTTTTTCTTCCTTTTCTCTGCCTTGTGTGCTATATGGAGTATGTGGCAACTTGAACTTTTGTTGCACTTCTGTGGAAAGTTCTAGGTTGAAACTCAGTTAGTTAGATATTCAATTTCATCTTATGAATCAAGGGTGTGAGTAACTTCTTTGGTTATTTATCTCTATATTTCTCTGCTGGGAAGAAAATGAGTTGAAACTCTTTGATAATAATAATAATAATAGGTGACACAGCATGTAAACTCTGTTCCAAACTGCTAATCGTGGTGATTACACGATTTTAGTGTCTAATGGATGCTCTGCACATTAATTTTTATGATTGCATTTGGTTTTACTTTAAGAAAGGTGTCTAATACGCCTTTTGATCGCCACTTATCACTATTTTTTGAACGCATACAGGTGATTTAAGCTTCCTAATTGCCAGCTAGAGCTTCCACAAACTTCAGGATACACCTCAAACATATTTTATAGATAGATAGGTTTAAAAGACGTGTAAACATCAATTTTATATCCTATCTCTGTAATATGTTTCACAGCAGAGTGTCTAGGTCCCCTATTCTCACCACTAATGGGTTCTAGAGATTCTTTTTGCTTCTGAAGCCAGCCCTTACTTGAAGAGATCGATGAGTCTTCCCCATGTACATGTGGCCACACGTACATTCAAATTGGTAAATACAGTGGGATGTGACGTCATGTTTCGCACGTTCTTAGATGGCCTAGATGGTCATATTGGCTTCACATTCTCAATTAGTATGATCTTAGTTGCATAAAAAGTCTTACTAACCTCAGAGTTCAATCTCTATCGAGCTAACAAGCTCCTATGATCACCCATATAGGGTAGCTTGATATATGCGTCTTTCTTAGCGGTGAGTTTGGAGAGTGGGTCTTGGTGTTCTGACTACTTTATATCTCCTAATGAATCTGTCTAGATAATTTTTATTAACCAGTCTAAATGTACGTGTGGCCACTCATCGATCTCTACAAGTAAGGGCTGGCTTCAAAGCATATTCCTAAATGGCTCCAGAAGCAAACAGAATCCCCAGAACCTATCAATTGTAAGAGCAGGAGACCTAGCTCCTCTGTTGCGAAACATATTATAGAGACAGGATATAAAATTATATGTTTACACGTCTTTTAAACTTATCACTATTTGGTTTTAGCGTTTTTATACAATTATATCATGAAATGGAAAAACGAACAAAGTTTTGAACAAACAGTAATAATAATGATAATATTTTTCTGTCTACATCTTCTGGTATGGTTCATATCACCATAATGTACGTGTATATATGTATGTATGTGTGCGTGTTTGTGAGTGTGTTCTGTTCATATACTTATTCACTGTCCAAAAGGAGGAGTGTACACAGTATTTCAATCCAAAAATATACTGTTTTCTGTTTTTTTTTAAATTTTTTTCTGCACTATAGACATGTTTACGATTTTATGAGCATGAATTTGTTGAATTGGCAAGACAATCACCAGCTGTAGTTGTCTGTCGTTGTTCACCGACACAAAAAACACAAATTGTCACCTTGTTAAGATATCACACGAAGGCGAGAGTAGCAGCTATCGGTGACGGAGGTAATGATGTCGGTATGATACAAGCAGCTGATCTCGGTCTTGGTCTATTGGGTAAAGAAGGTCGACAGGCTAGTTTAGCTTCTGATTTCAGCTTGGCCCAATTCAGACATGTTACCCAACTGTTGTTGGTGCATGGGAGAAATTGTTATAAGAATACAGCTGCATTAGCTTTATTTGTTATTCATCGGGGTAAGTTGTGCATATATATTTGAGTAAAGTTCATTGGTTGTTTTTCTTAGCCCCTTTGACAAACTTTGTGTAAACGCATTCATTTCTATTTCATACACTTACTTCTCTTCCCCCCCCACTCCATCCCCGTTATGAATTTGAAGTAAGTAAGAACAACAGTGGTTTGTGCATAATAAGATGGCACCATCATCACCATTTGTTTCGTTGGCTTCTTATGAGCTGCGTGACAGCCCAAAGAAATTATCATTAAGTTGGTGTAAAGAATGGAATTTTAAGAATTTTAATGCGGTGAGTCCAACTCAAATCATGGGAACAAGAAACAAACACAATCAAGTTATATCAAAGCGGGGGGAGGGCGGTCTGTCTGTTTTCGACATAGAACTTTGCACCGATGTGCAGCAGTTCAAGTCGCCACACTCCATGTAGCACACAAAGCAACAGAAGAAAGTAGAAGAAATGCATACTAGAGACAGTAAGTTGAAGTGTGAGACAAAGGAATAGTAATAACGAAGAACAATATAGTTTCACTGGAAATTATAAGTCACAAGGAATGGATGCATCTGCGCTAGCCATTGAGAACGATTTTGAGCCATGTCACCAATTGTTTCCAACCATTGGTTTTTACCGTCCCGAGGATCCCAACCAGGAAGCCAGTCTACACCTCCCTATGTGGCTGGCTTAAACTAGCTGTTGTGGATTTCATTGACTGGTTCCATGTTTTAGTTTGACCGTCGCCCGCTCTTTTCAAGCCTGACCGTATGGCGGTAGGTTAAAGTCAAAGCTTATCTAATCAAACGAGAGAGAAAGAGAGTCGAAACAGCCATTTACCACAGCAAGGAAAGACTGATAACCGCTTCTTTCTGAACACATAAGTTGGGTTTCAGGCGTTTGATAGCGATTGCTTCAACAAACTGGAGGGGAATTGAACTATTTAGTGTATTGATAATTTTAAAGGATTTCATGAGGTCCACCTCATTATCCGTATCAACGAGATTTCTGGTGATCGCAATATTGTAAGCGTTCTTCCCCTCGATGTGTAGGCTTTTTGGTACATGTCCGGAAAATCGCAGGTGTGACCTTCTTTCTGTTCTTGCATTGTAATTCCTACTGCAGGTACGTGTAAAAACACGAATAGGGTATCTGTTGAACTATGACTGCACCAAAGAGCATGCTGTCCAATAAGCGGGAACGTTTAAAATAGAATTGAATGAAGATAGGGTTCTTTTTTCCACTGTAATTTGTTTGGTATTTGAGCCTTCACAATTTGCGTACTTGTTAATGAATTTCTGAGGATAATCATTGTTTTCTAAACATCTTTTCGAGAGTCTTAAATTTTACCTCTAATTTTTCCGGTTATACATATATGATTGTTTTAAAATTCCTTATTGTTCTTATTTGTTTTTTGGTTAATTTTGCATTTCCCGTTGGTTGATTATGGTGGCCCGAAAGGTGCGCTTAGTCTCTGTTGACATGTTGACTCACTCCTAGTACGGACGTTCCGATGATTTATTGGGATTAATGTGAATTTATTTCGCTACTTTGAGTCGATATGTTAACACAGACCAAGTGAAATATAACTGATACTTGTTGTATAAGAGAGTTGGCTTCCATTTCCCTTGTGGCCTAGTGAGTTGTACTTTGGCCGTTTAAAACGATATATATATATATATATATATATATATATATATATATATATAGGGTTCGAGTTTCAGTGAGAATACAATCACGCACTGGGTGGGAATGCAGGTAAATTCAGCTGATGAGTCCCAAATCGGATGGGATGCTCATTCTGGAGTACGCAGTGTGCTAGTTACCACCAGTCAAAATAACTTCCTTTATTGTTGTAAATTGATGTTCAGATTTGCATAGTTTTTGTATTCTTAGTAGTATGAAGAAGATTGAAATTTTGATTGTCTTCATATCACACGAAGTCGTTTTCGTTCAAGTTAAACAAGTAATTTGAACTGGTATAAATCATTATACCATTTGAAAAAGGATTTATCATACCCTTTTAAATCCATAGTTTTGATAATCTTGGTTCAGTCGGGTTCGTTTCAAATATTAATCTGTCCATCCACCAATACCTATTTGGGTCGTACAGTGTCATGCTGCAGAATATTATTCACGGTACTTAAGTGCTTATAGATCGTGCACATGGCAAATACTTATTACAATGAGTTCCATTTGCAAGCTACACCAATTCGAAATGTTCTTCCCTTCCTCCCCAAAACTGTTAGCAAAATCATTAGCGTTATTAGTGACCAGTAACTGTCTGTTGCCCAAAATGATAGGTTGTAAATTGCAGTGTCTTATCGACTAGCAGTAAATTTCTAGACATTTTTTCATGCTACTTACTAAGAATGAGTAGTGAACGTGAAGCATTTGACCTCAGACAAATATCTGAGTGGATCCTGTTAGATAAAATTAGTTTATCTAATATCCTTCGGTTGAACACTGGGTAGAAAGTCACTGCTGTTTCATGTTTCTGGTCTTTTGTTTGGTGCACACTGAATACTATCAGTTTGCACTGAAGTTTGCATTGCGGCTACCATGTCACCCAGTGGCTTGGCATCACGATGCATTCTGTATGGTTGTCATTCGATGGTTTGACGCAATTCACAGGAGTCCTTAGACCTAGGTTTCGTGTTTATTGACACTCACCAATCAGCAAAGCATATTTACAATCTCGAAGAAAGTCTTTTCTCGTCTAGGATTTGAACGTGGATTACCCAGTGCTGCAGTCAGAGACGTTTACCACTGAGCTATTCGGACTGTAGTGTGGACACTTTGATTGAACATTAGGTAGTGAGTGACTAGTGTCCTTTGTTTGGTACAGATTAAATTCTATCATTCAGTGTCCTACAATGGACTTCCGGGTCGAATACATAGACCAAAGTAGTAGGACAAGGTCAATTAGATCAGTGTGGTACAAACCTAGATTAATTGACCTTAATAAGATAAAAAAATCTAGAAAGTAGCTCAGCCATATTGCATTGCACGCAGTTACACACAATCGTACAATTGCATATGATGAGATGACAGTCTTAAAATCTAATGTGACAGGTTGGAGGGAAAGACTGATAACTAAAGCTTTATTTACCGAATCAACTAAGGAGAATACGTGTGATAGGACATCTGGAAAATTATACTACCCCTATGACGAATGGGAAGGAATAAAGAGAAGCATAAAAGAAGTTAGAGCTTCAAAGTTGTGTAGTTACAACGGATGATATGATTATGAACAGTATAGATCATGTGTTTGAAACTTGGTCATCCAGTAGACAATACTGTTTCATTCATTGTGTGATATATCCAATATACGAGTTTGACCAAGGGTTGATATCAGTTGGAGAACCATTGAAAACCAGTAATGGAGTACTGGATAGCTGTCTCATCCTAGTTTGGGAATCATCGGCAGTACGTACCCACCGCCTGGGTTCGAGTCCAGGACCTTCTAGTTACAATGGCAAGCTCGTATACCATTCAGCCACTGGGACCCGATTCAATGGCCTGTGCATGAATTCTAACTTCTACCAATCCGTGATTTAGTGCGACCACCAACCAATGCTATTGGTGGGAAATCCATCCTCACACTTGACTGGTTGAACCTCAATAGACAAATTAATACGGAATTACGCATATAATAATGCATAGGAAATATTAAAAAGACGGTTGCAGGGAAGAAAATTTTCTTTTCGACGAAGGCATCAACCTGGCTGTATATTCGTGTATTTTCAGTAACTGGATGAGAAAGTTCCAGAACTCTTTCTGGTCAAAGGTCAAATTAATGAAGTTGCTGAGAGTAATAAACAGGAAGGTCGAATAAAAAGATAAAGTAGGATCATAATTACTGAGGAAATTGACTTCATGTGCAATTAGGGATTAAAAATGTCATAATAACAAAATGGACAGAAAGTTCAGATAAAAGACATAGTAGTGCAGATGGGAATTAAAAAAAACGTAAAAATAACAGAAATAAACAGGAAGGTTGGATACGGAAGGGTGATAGGATAATCACTGTTGAGGGAATTGATTTTTTATGATGGCCATATTAGAGACAACAGTTGGATGTATTTCTTTTGAATACATATGGTGGGCTTAAACTTTTGGATCACTAGTGTGTCTCAGCCATACCAAGCCAGATGCCTTGATCTCACTCCCTTTTAGAGGTTCGGTCAGACCTCGTATATGACTTTGAAGGACTTTTCGAATGGATCTGGATGTCCTAAATTCACCAGATGTTCTGTTGCCGGACTATATACACACTTGCGTTCTCCCTTTGCTGGATAGTGTTTCGTATGATCTAACGAAACAAGAACCAATCGCTCAACAAATATGCAGGAGAAAGTGGAGATGGATTGGACACTCGCTGAGGAGGCCACTTGGTGACATCGCGCGTCAGGCCAATGCTCGAGTGGAACCCGAAAGGGAAGCGGCGAGTGGGACGTTCAAGGGTGGAATGAAGGAGATCGTGTGAAGAGGAGCTGAAACAGCATGGACTAAGATGGATGCAAGTGGAAAGTACAGCACAAGACAGAAGCAAGTGGAGGTGTGCAGTTGAAGCCCTATGTTCCACTAGGAACCCAAGGGAACAATAACAATAATAATGTGTATACTCTGTGATATATTCATGCAATAATATTTCTTTGATTTTGTTAACATTTATTATTATTTTTTCCCTATAACAGGTTCAATTATCACTGTTATGCAGGCAATATTCTCAGCTGTATTCTACTTTGTTGCAATACCATTATTCCCTAGTTTTCTACTTGTCGGTTATGCAACAGTCTTCACTATGTTCCCTGTATTTTCTTTGGTACTTGACAAAGATGTACCGGATCGTATTGCTATTACCTATCCTGAATTATATAAAACACTGCAGAAAGGTCGTGAATTGACTTTTAAAACATATTTCATCTGGCAGTTGATTAGTGTTTATCAAGGTGAGTTGGGGTTTTTGCTTTATATATATATATATTTTTCCATTCCTTTACGTTCCCAGTGGAACATAGGGTGCCTTCAAGCTAGAGACTTGAAGTTTCGGTAGCAGTGGTGTTTATTTTTACGGGATGGGGTTGCTAACCTAACCTGGCCCAACCTTTCCTTTTTACCAGTTTCATTGCTAGCTTGGAGTGCTAAAGGAGTTCATTGGCTGAGGATCGAACCCCGGAGAACATTCATGGTCGGCGAGCGTTCTACCTCTGTGCCACCGATGCACTTTGCTTTATATATTGCTACTCAATACCTTCACAGCTTTTGCCATCTAGTGGCATCTTTTACACATGAGTGGTATCCATCTACATGTTAAGAAGGATTTGCACTGGTTGTTGAAGATGAACAATTAAAAAAAAATCAAGGATTTTCATTATCACTACTAGTATGGATAAGATTTACAAGTAGTATATAGACGCAGATATAAATATGTATATCATCTGCAATCAATATTGAATAGCGGAGAGATGGATTTAATGAATGATGCTTGTGAAATAACATGGAAAACATCAAAGAAAGCCAAAGAGACACAACACACAAGATATGTGCAAATTGTGATTCTAATATATGGTAAACGTATTTTGTATCGAGTTACTAATAAATAATTCCGTTATCATGTGTGTTGAGTTAGATACAACAACGTATTAAAGGAGGGTTAGTCTACTGGAAAAAGTTTCTAAAGTTTCATCGGTTAGCACATACGAAAAAGTCAATTTCCTCCATGGGTAATTTGATCTTAAAATAAAATTATGTTGGACATGTGTTAAAGGTTATCAGGCCGAAATACACCTTTAAGTCTATGGAATCATGGACTGTTAGTCGGAGTCATTTAGCCGAGGTATAAGCTATCTGGATGAGGGTTTGTGTGCTTGAAACGACCTATTATTTTTGAAAAAGGCAAATTCGGGTCACTAACTCAACGCTTACCTTAATCCTTCTCTGAACTCATTCTAATTCTAAGCTTAAACACCTCTAGTCTACGTGTAACTTAAGATCAACCTACTGCTAACCTGTACCTACGTTAAACCTGGAAACATAAGGAATAGTTGACCATGGTGTGCGAACGCACCAATGATCCGTAACGGATACTACCATTCGTTAGATTAAAGAACCTGGCGTGTGTTCTACTTCAAAAAGCCGTTTACGTACAAAAAAATACACATAATACTGAAAGACATTAAATACAGTATTTTGTCCTGATGTAGGTGAAGATATACTTTCCAATTATAATGAAAGGCATCAGTTTATAAGTTTCATAACTATCAGAGTAGTTTCGTCTGTACGAATAACGAAACACTCCCCTCCCATTTATTTATTTACGGGAAAAATACAGATAATAATAATAATAATAATAAACACCCTAACCCGATTCCTCACCTTAACCCTAATACTTACCTTAACTCTAATCCTAATCCTAACCAGAACCCTTACCCTAATAACTATCCCTAACCCTAGGGCTAGTTCTAACCCTAATGTTCTATTAACCCACTGTCCGAATAGTGCTTGAAAATGAGTTCAGGATGGAATTTGCACACCAGTTCATGCTGACGCTGCAATAACGCCAGTGAATGAAATGAAATGATGTAAGATCTAGTGACCGTCAGTTCAATCCAACATACAGCTGTCTGTCTGTCTGTTTTCGACATAGAACTTTGCACCGATGTGTGGGAGTTCAAGTCGCCACACTCCATGTAGCACACAAAGCATGAGAAGAAAGTAGGAGAAATGCATAATATAGACAGTAAACAGAGGTGTGAGACAAAGGAGTAGTAATAAAGAAGAACGATATAATTTCATTGGGTATTACAAGTCACCAGGAGTGATGGCATCTGCGCTAGCCATTGACAATGATTTTGAGCCATGTCACCAGTTGTCTCCAGCCTTCATTGGTTTTCACCATCACGAGGATCCCAACCAGGAAGCCAGTCTGCACCTTCCTACGTGACTTAAACTAACTGTTGTAGATTTCATTGACTGGTTCCATGTTTTAGTTTGACCACCACTGGCTAGCTCTTTTCCAGCCTGACCCTATATCAGCTAACATTGCCCATTGTCGAGGAAGGCGATGGCTAGGCATACGTAACACATGTCCTAACCATCTCAGTCGATGTAATTTCAAAGTCTTGTCGACTGATTTCTCCGCCTTACCTAGCACTTGACGCCTAACCTCAATATTGCTCACCTTAATAATACCACTTCACACGGGAGATGGAACGCAGGCACCTATGATCGAAGACAGCTAATCTTTTCATGTCTTCCACTCTCAATGGCCATGTCTCACAGCTAGCCGTAAAGGAGGATGGAGCGGACTGTTGAGCAGTACACACGCCCTTTGGTCGATAGTCGGATATCACGTCTACTCATCCAGAGACGGCGTAAACTGGCATATACGAAACTAGCCCTTTGTTTTCGTGCTGAGATTTCCTCGGAGATCAACCCGTTGGGGCTGATGGTACTTCCCAAGTAAGTGAAGCGGTCAACGTGCTCTGCCACTTCACTTCCTATTTCTAATCTAATATACAGCTAGTCGTACAATACTGAAGAAAGAAGTTTGCTACACTAGGAGATAAAACTAACCGAGTCCTCAAAATTATTCCTTAGGACAGAATCAAATGATGTAACAGATATAGTCAAGTGTGTACTGTCGATGAGTGTCAAACTAGGTTGGCGAAACAACTCTCCAGTACTCCCTAGTCTTCAGTGGTTCTCTAACTAGTAGCAATCCGTGGTCAGACTTGATTCAAAACAAATCACTATGAAGTCTGATACAGAAATGTATCGGATAAAGTTGCTGCAGTATGAAGTGACACTTAAAGAGAATGAAATTAGGACTAAAGTAATGTCAGATTGATAGAATACAAACAAAAAAGTGTGATGTTGAATGTGAACATGTTTAAAAAGAAATACATCTATCCTATTGGTGGCGGCAGTGGCCTGAAAGATAAAGCTATGGCGTTCGAAGGGATTTGTTCTGAGTTCGAATCTCAATGGGAACAGAATCACTAACTGGAGATTACTGATATATGTTCAGATGATGAGTACCAATTAGGACAAAATGCACATCTCTAGTTCCACCTCAAGTCACCATCGGTTAAAATAATGTCATGTTGAGTGAAAATTTTTGAAGAAAAATATTTAAAAGGATCAAAATACATCTAGTATACTTTGATTGGTTCTAAATTATTTCATTAAGATTCTTTATTGATTAATTTGTAATAATTTGGAGAACTCAGTATTTGGAGATAATTAACCGGTAACCAGTGAGTACCAATCGCTATCAACGAAAGAAATTCGAAAGGCATCACTTCCTTCAATTATCTATGTGGCATCGTTTCAGCTACAGGCAGACGGTATGGATGCGGTTGTCAATAGCAGAATCGGGAAGGAAAGACAGACCTTTGTCATTCTGAGACCAGTGTGAAAATCTTTTGCACTCAACACAAAGAACAAAATTCGGAATTTAAGCACAGATGTTAAGCTAGAAGTTGGAATTTATGGGCCATTGAGTCGGGTTTCAGTGGCTGAATGGTGTTCGAGTTTGCCTTGTAACCTGAAGGAACTGGGTTCGAACCCCATTGGGTGCGTACTGCCAGTGATTCCTAAACTAGGATGAAACAACTGTCTGGCACTACTTACTGGTTTTCAATGGTTCTCTAACTGATAACAATTTGTGGTTAAACTCGAAAAACAAATCTATTTATGACAAATCAACTCTTGAAAACAATGTTGAATCAGTTCTCCTATCTGGGTCAGAAACTTGGAGTGTCATGAAGGACTTTTCTAACAGATTCCAGACTTTTATCAACAGCTTCCCCCTTCGCAGGGTCAAATGATCAGAAGTAATTAGCAATAGGGAACTTTGGATACGAACTAATCAAGAATCTGCTGCTCGACAAATATTCCGAAGGAGATGGAGGTCGATTGGGCATACACCATGGAGACGGTTAAGTGAAATCACGTGCCAAGTATACTCTTGAATGAGAGACGACGAGTTGGGCTTGGTACCGGAGCTTGCATAGAGGGGATCATGTAAGAAGGAGATGAAAGCTTATGGGTAATTGGGAGGTGGCCAGTTGAAGAGGGCTGCAGGGAACTGGGATGAAGTGGGAATGTGTTGTTGAAGCCGTATGTTCCACTTGGAACCCAAAGAAATAAAAACAATATATATATATATATATATCGCATAAATTCGCTCACTCGGAACAGATCCTTTTACACCCAAGGTTGAGCACCACACCTATAGTGTGAGAAGGCGGATGATACTTCACAGTCATCCAGGATAAAGTAGCTGAAGCCGGACTCGAACTCGTAGCCTGTTGGCTGGAAATCGAGTGTATTTTCAGCCAATGAGACCCCGCCGCCCTCCCTCAACACACACACACACACACACAATAGTTTGAGCCAACCAGTCGTTAAATGTTTTCACTTAACCAGATGTTTTAGAACAGTGGCTGCAGACTTTTTATATTTTTAGTTGAAATGAGACAATTCTAAATTGTTGTTTCCTTGTAATAGGTTCGATGATTTATCAGTCTAATTGTAAAATGTATTGTGAAAACTCTCTTACAATAGCATCAATACTCTTTGTCATAATCATCTAATTTTGTTCATAGATATTCCTGTCTTTAATTTATTTTATTATTTTCAGGTAGCGTGATAATGTATGGTGCATTGTTACTATTCGAAGATGAATTTATCCATGTCGTAGCTATTACATTCACAGCTCTACTGCTTACTGAATTACTAATGGTTGCCATCACTATACGTACATGGCATCTGCTTATGATTTTAGCTGAAGTCATAAGTTTAGCCATTTATATTATCGCTTTAATTGTTATGAAGGCATATTTTGGTAAGTTTTTACCTTTTTTGTTTTGTGTGTGTGATTGTGTGATGACACTATGTATGTGTGATGAGTGAATGAATGAAAAGTTGACCGTCTATTAGAACAGAAGTTTGATAATTTATGTGTATTTCTTTCGCATTTCTTAGAAATCCTCCATTTACAATGTGTCAGTGTCATAAAGGTGCCAGTTTGATGCATTCAGGTAGGTAGTTGCCTGGGGTTCCAGTGGGAAGTCGTGACCAGTAGGGTGCAGCAGGTCGGGTGTGAGGACAAATATTCGCCGAAGACATTGGCTAGCGGTTGCGCTATATCGTGAATTGGCAGAAATTAGAATTCATGGGCCACTGGATCGGGTCCCAGTGGCTTAGTGGTATACGAGCTCGCCTTGTAACCAGAAGGTCCTGGGTTCGAACTCTGGCGTTGGTTGCGTACTACTGAAAAGTCCCAAACAAGGACGGAACAGCAGTTCAGTACTCCCAGCTGGTTTTCCAATGGTTCTCTAACCAATGTCAGCTCATGATGAAATCCTGTAACCATTACAACTTTGTTTTAATTTTTTACTCTCTTATTGATTCAATCCTATTGGATGCTATTTGGCGACCATTTTAATGTTCCTCCAAGGTTGCAGATACGCCTTTCTGGCTAGTGAGTGCCAACTAGCACGAAACCTAAGTCAAGCAAGGCTTCCTCCAACCATCTAACATCAACAATTCACAGTGGATCGTGATAATGAGCCACTTGGTGGCATGATGACCACATTGCAAGCCCAACTGATACAATGCAGTCTTTTATTTTATTTTTGATTTACAGCTTGATTCCACACCGTATTTTCAGTACAAGTATGGAATTTTCAGCATGGATATCGGTAGCCCAAATTCAGGCCGACCATAGATATCGGGTGTGCGCCGGCAAGGGATCGAACCCCGGACCATGTGCATGGTCGGCGAGAGTCCTAACCACTGTGCCACCGACGCACAGTAAACAAAGGACTGACTGGTTTCAGCGTGGAACTTTGCACAGATGTGCAGTAGTTCGAGTCGCCACACTTCATTCAGCACACAAAGTAAGAGAAGAAAGTAAAAAGAAACGTAAAATATAGACAGTAAAGAGAGATATGAGGCAAAAAGTATAGTAATATGGAAAAGCCATATAGTTTTATTGGGAATTATAAGTCACAAGGATTGGATGCATCTGCGCTATTCAGAACTATTTTGAACCATATCACTAACTGTCTCCAGTCATTGGTTTTTACCGTCCGAGGACCCAAACCAGGAAGCCAGTCTACACCTCCCTTGTGGCTGGCTTAAACTGACTGTTGTGGATTTCATAGACTGATGAAGGCATGTTTTAGTTCGACCACCACTAGCTAACTCTTTTCCAACCTGATCCGTCCTATGTCCAACTAACATTGGCCAGTGTCGAGGAAGGAGATAGCAATGCACGCGAAACACATGTCCTAATCATCTCAGTCGATGTAGCTTCACAGCCTCGTTGTCGATTGATTTACCTTCCTTACCTGGCAGTTGATCGATGCCTAACCTCAATGCTGCTCACCCTGTTATACCACTTCACACGGGAGATAGAACGCAGACACCTATCTTTGATCAAAGACAGCTAGGCAGGCTTTTCATGTCTTCCACTCTTAATGGCCATGTCTCACAGCTAGCCATAAAGGAAGACGGAGCGGAATGATGAGCAGGACACCCGCCCGCCCTTTGGTCGACAGCCAGCTGGATATCACGTCTAGACACATTACACTAATTGCTAACTCGTGTCCAATTAAAAGTGTTAATGTCTTCAGTTAAATAAATTGATGCATTAATGGTGGGTGTATGCTTAGATTATTCGCGGCAGTATATGATCGATCACCTTCGATAAGCACATGACGTCAGTGCAGGGTTGTACTCCGAAGGAAAGTGTACATATATATATATATATATATTACTTAGATAGTTGGCATTCAGTTATCAATTGGTAAAATTTTCTTATGAGGTATTTATTCGATCGGTTTCAGAGTTCTTACTAATCTATGACAGTTAATGTTGCTTTGTAGTCATAGTTGTTTGTAACGACCAAAATGGACTCGTTGTGATCTCAACACAGGAAGCCTATCTCTGTGATCTGTCGTAAAGCTGAATAAAATTCCTTGAGACACAGACACACTCACAGTAAAAAACCGCTCCAGAAACAGCGGTTAGTACTTGCATGGGTGACCGGCTGGGAATACCGGGTGTTGCCGGCTTTTTGCGCCGGTGGCACAGTGGTTAGGACTCTCGCTGACCATGCACATGGTCCGGGGTTCGATCCCTTGCCGGCGCACACCCGATATCTATGGTCGGCCTGAATTTGGGCTACCGATATCCATGCTGAAAATTCCATACTTGTACTGAAAATACGGTGTGGAATCAAGCTGTAAATCAAAATAAAAAATTTAAAAACAAAAATGACAGTTTTTCATGGTTGAATCTATATACATCTATTGAACAACAATAGTAACATCGAAAACTCAAAATTACCTCAACAGTCCCGTGAGATAGCTATACAGTTAAGAGAATGTTCTAAGTACAAAAGAGGTATTGCAGAATAGAATTAGTTAAGCAAAATTCAACTATGTGGGAGTACCTGAGAATCAATTCCCAACCAGGTGGAATCAAAACTGTGTAAAATTCAGAATCAGAGCAAACAATTTACACCATGAAACAACACATTATCACTATCATCATTGCACACCCACTAAAAAGAAGCATTACAATTACAGATTAAACAGGAGCAAAGACAAATAATAAGGATGAAGTCAGCATGTGATATGTATGCATCAGAACAATGATGGACAGTCGAGGAAAAGAATGGAAAGTGATTACAAAGTTATTTGAAACATCCAAATAAGTATGAGTATTGTGATTAGATCGTCCAGGAGAGATTTTCCAATCAATTATTCCGTTACGAACAATAATATATTCATACAGCGGAGGGGGGGGGGCTACGAAAATGAGGAAGTCGGTTCAAGGTTGTATAACCTGTCCGGGAAATGTCTTGTACAAAGTAATATTCATTAAAGAGGAAATAATATGACTGCGGTGAATAGTTCATTATGAATACAAATTTTTTGTTCCCTTGCGTTCCCAGTGGAACATAGGGCTTCAAGCTAGAGCTTTAAAACTTCGGTCGCGGTGGTACTTGTTTTTATTGGCTGGGGTCGCTATCCTCGTGCCCAACCTCGCCTCTTTACCAGTCGTATTGCTTACTGGCTTAGCGAGGTAAAGGAGTGCGTCGCTGGCAGGGGATCGAACCGAACCGAAACACCTGCCCAGATAGCGAGCATTCTACCGCTGTGCCACAAATGCAAACTGAATACGATCATACAGAATTAACTTGGTAACGATTAAGAAACGTCACACACATTGAATCAATTGATATTACTATCCAAGGCGTACTTGGCATCGATAGATGAGATCGTGTATTATTGTCACTATTGGAAATTGTCGCCTTTCCGTTGACTAGTTTTTACACTAATCACAACGTACACTATTTGTTAGTTTGTTTATTTTTGTCTTTTTCTTTGTTTTTTTTTAAAATTTAGATTCTGTATTTCTAAGAACAGTTGGATTCGTCTGGAAAGTTCTAGCCATCACAGGTGTCAGTTGTATACCAATTTTAATACTGAAGTTCATACACTATAAATTCAGACCATCTATTTACTCAAAATTACAGTGATCATACTATACACACACACACATACATACATACAAACACCATCTGTGATTTCATTGACATTTCTGTCTGACTCCTTTCAATTAAATAATGATACTGACATATGAAAAAAGAACATGTGGTCGCATAATTTACATATCGAATCATTATTACTATTATTATTATTACTATTGATAAAAAGCCAAAAGAAAGAAACTAGATTCTCATGCAACTTTTTTTTTTTAAGAAAAACAACTTTTATTTTCACATGTTTTATTGTTTTATTTCTGTTTGTCTGTTTCGTCTTTTGTTGTTGTTACTGTTGTTGTTGTTGTTGGCGGTGGTGGTGGTTTTATCCTATGAATTATGTGGTTCCACTGCCTGGCCCGACTGCCGCCTATTTTCTTCCAGTCACTAGAACACACCACACTACACTACCGCCAACCAACTGTTGTCTGTCTGTCTGTCTGCCAGTTGGGCAGTCAGTCAGTCAGTGAGCCTTCAAAACTATCTCAGTTAATGACACGACAAGAAGTAACAATGGGTCATACACCATTTTTAAAAATAATCCTCTTTTCTTTTTATATAACCAAAAAATTGTTGTCTGATTTTATATATTTTATCAATTGAGACTTTATGTGTGAAAGGAGGCTTTTAATTTAACCAGTAATCAACAGGTATGCTGCTTTATAATGTGAAGAGAGAATCATGTCGAGCAGTGTTCATGCTTTTGTTTGTTTTAATTTTTTGCTTTGAAAAATCTCACAGCTGATTCATTGACGTGTTTTTGATTGTTGTTGTTATTATCATCATCATTATTATTAATTTTATCTAAATCTGCACAGAACAGCATCTATCTGTCGTTCACTGTTGTTTTATTCAGTTGTTTTTTTCAGTTATTGATTTTTATTAAGTCATGATAGCGTGTGCGCCTCTTTCTGGTGATGATGATAATAATAATACACTGTGTGATTGTTGTTATTTGACTTTTATCGATTATTTATTTATTTATTTATCTGTATATCGTGATCTCTCTTGCCCTCTCTCTCCGTCTCCTTCTTCTTTCTCATTTTTTTCGTTGGAGATTCATGTTGTTTCTTGATCAATGATGACATTGTGTATTTTGTTTGTTTTAATGTCTCAATATTATTATGATTATTAATGCAGAAATTTAAAATATATATACTTGTATCGATTTTCAGTAGTCTATCGGTGTGGATATATGTATGTTGATATATATATATATATGTGTGTGAACATTAAGAGAGTTTCTTGTTTCATATCGTTTCATTTTGTTGGCGTGTTCTGTTCTGTTCTGTTTTAGCATTCATTGTTTTATTTTATGCCTGTCACTGTGATGGCATTTTGTGCCTTCTGATCTGCTTTATCTTGTCTATTTTTTGGGTTGTTTGGTTGTTTGTTGTATTATGAAGGTTAGTTATTTGGCAGTGTTGATTATCACTCACTTTTCACGTAGATATGCTTCAAAAAAGTGGTAATAGAAAGGCGACTAACAAAGGAAACAGTTTATATGAGAGTATTATTATTATAATTATTCCCCATTGGGCTCCGAGTGAGGCATGGAGCTTCAGGAGCACATTTTCATTTCATCCTGTTCTCTTTAGTCGACGATTGCCCGGTACGCTTTCATCTTCTTCTTAAAAGATCTCCTCTATATCAACATAGAAGCGATATATATATATATATATATATATATATACAGATGAAGACAGAGATAAGACGACACTTGGACAGGTCGGTGGTATCTTTACGACTGATTCCGATGTACATTAATTTAAGATGTGTGCTGTGATCTGAATTGTAATTTGATTGCAATGGAATGATAACATGGTTAGGGTATATTTGGGTTTCGTAACTTATCTGATAGTACTCCGGACTAGTGATTTGGAGGCTGCTGGTTGAAATCTGAATTCCGTGTCGATTTTCGTTTCATCTCTCCAGTCATCAGTTTAACATCAGTCGAAAACTGCATAGCTGCCAAATCAAAGATATCTCAGATATAGTCTCATTGGCAGTTTAATTTCTATTTGTTTTTATCAGAAGGTACGAATCTATTTGTACTAGTTAAGATCCAAGCGTGTGCGTGTCCTCATTACCTTGTCTCACTTTCTTGTGTTACCTACTTGTTTTTGATGTGATAACTTTGACCATTTTGCATACAGCAAGCAGTACTGGATGTCACTCAACGGTCTGCTCAGCGTGTATCTAAATAATCTCCATTTTCTTCGGAATATTTGTTGAGCGACAGGTTCTCGATTGGTTCGTTCCCAGAGTTTCCTGTCACTAAATCTTTCTGGGCGGCCATCTGGTCTTCAATATGGAGTTAGCAGGGTAGCTGTTGATGGAAGTCTGCAGTAGCCTGTGGGAATAGCTTTTCATGACGCGTTCTCCAAGTGTCCGAACTATATAGTAGAACCAACTGTCTTAATATTGGTGTTGAAAATCAGAATTTTTGTCGTTTATGCTACGGAGAGTGCATAAGATATTCAAACTGATTCGAGAGTGAGGAAGATCTTCATCGCGTCACCGATTCTGGTTTCAGCGTCGTCATCTGTTCTGTCTGCGCATAGGTGAAACAATTCTCCCTAGCCAGATAAGTGAAGGAAGTGACCTGTTTCAAATTTCTTGCGTTGATAGTGATTGGTGCTTATTGTTGAGTGCTGAATCTTACGTCTTATAAATGATTTGCAGCGGCGGGATATGTGAAAGATTTTCTATAAGATTGTATGAATGTAGCTAACTGGTTGTCTGGTGAGTGAAAAAGGCTGGTAAATGATGAAATTAAATTCATGCGGACAATACATTGAACAGTAATATGACTACCAGTCATTCATGCTAATGCAAACGTATAAATGTGCATTGCCTTATTTTCCGAACGTAGATAAAATAGAATCGAAGAAGAAGTGAAAGATAATAAGATAAAGATTTTAATAATAATTTGCTTTATTCCAAAACAGTGCTTGTGATACAGAATGGAATTCTCAGCATTTTTACTGCAGTATTGCATCCAGTTAGTACATTATCAATAAATAGAATTCTACATAGATTGAGGAAACCAACAGTTCATTATTACAACAATACATTGGGATGTCGGTAGCAAAGCCAAAGTTGAACAGTGTTTGAAGGTGTTAGAGAAGTAGGTGCTGTTGTATTTACTGGCGTAAGCAGAAGAAAGAGACAAAGCAGCACATAACAGAAAAGAGAGAGAGAGAGAGAAAAGGAAAAGAGAGAAAGAAAACGTAGTACCTGTAAATGATATGAGTTTGAAAGACGAGATCCAGTTGTACTACTGACCATTTAATGAACTATAGGTGTCATGCCTAATGCTTTCTTTATCGCACAGAACACGAGCTAAGTAGGGTATGGTTGAGTTTTTGTACTTGCTAGTGCAAGCATATAGTTTTCTATATAGGCTTCTGGTTTCACCTGATGAGATACAAGGGGAGAGTTGTGAATGAAGAGGGTGGTGTGAGTTAGATAAAATGGACTTGGCTCATTTTTCACATGAGTCCATGTGCCTATCGACCAGAATATTAACAAGCTGGTTAAGTGGCACGTTGCTTACCCTGCTGTCAACCTTTAACATCCTGCGTAATATGTTATAGTCTTTCTTCAGTAGCCCGGGAAAAACTAAGGGGGAACAATAGAGAATAATAGGCAGAATGCGAGAGTTAACGAATCGTAGGAGTAAGGGTTGGGTTATACCAGAATGTTTTAACTTCTTGATGTAGAAGGTAAGACGGAATATTTTCTTAGAAATCGTCCAGATATGAGACGACCAGGAAAGATCAGTAGATAGAATGACGCCTAGGTATTTAATTTCCGAGTTGGTTTCTATTTCATTGCCATCTATGTTGCACACCTCGTGAGAGCCAACCAGTTTGTTTAGGTTGGATTTATGCCTAAAGGTGAAATTGACTGTTTGGCATTTGGAGGGGTTTCATGTAAGACAGATATTCAGTGTTGACTACGATAAGCAGCGAAGACCCATGTGCGATAATGGTTGATAACTATCTGAACGGTTTCAACTTTGTTCAGAAGTGAAGCACTTCTACTTACCACATGCCATACGCAACACAAAATGGAGAAAGAAATGCGATTCAAACGAACAGTAATAAGCAGAAATGTGAGGGCGAGACTGGTAACATGTAAATACATGAGGGTTTTATTGAATGTAGGAGATCACAAAGACTGAATGCATCTCAGCCATCGAAAACGATTTTGAGCCAGTATCAACGATAGTCTCCTGTCATTGGTTCCTAGAATCCCGAGGACCCCCAACTAGGTAGTTTACACCTCCCACGTAGGCTGGCTCAAACTAACTGTCAAATATTTTCATGCACTGATTACAATTTTCGGTTTGACCACTACTTGTTCCATTCCAACCTGGTCAGGGCATCTGTGTCCAGCTTGGTGTCCCTATTTCAATCTCATTGTTGTTGTGAAATATAAAAGTGGTGACATCATAACATTGTCGTAAGGATGAACATGATTTGAGCCATCTACCACTGAGGTTAAATAAAAGTGTAGTGAAAAGCATCAACAGCTTGATATTAAACCATCTGGTTTAAACCAGCCACAAAGCTCTAACATTCAAGAATCCTTTTCCATCAAAAAATTTGCCAAAAGCATCCAGGTATCAAATACTTCAGACAGCAGAGACTATTGTGATTCGACTGAGACAACCAGTGCTCTGTGTGTGCAGAAAAAACAGGTCCAGTCACTACTACTACTACCCTGCCCTTTTGTCGAGCCTATTAAATTCATGAATTCCGTATTATTATTATTATTTTTCCTAATCTGTCTGTCTGATATTCAGTGTAATGTAATGTTGACGCATATTATCACACCTACAGATGTTATTGAACTGTGTAATCGATTGATATTATTGATTGATTCGATGTTACTTAAACAACACATTAGTGTTGTTAATAGCTCTAATTCTTCCATTATTATGGATATATAACTGTGGAACCTGATGATGAAGAGCAGGTTATCGGAAAGAATATTCTTTGTTCAGTGTTGTCAGTCTTTAGGAACCTTTTTGTTAGTTGTGGTGTACTTGTATAAAGGTTTCGGAATTCCTACACATAATTACACTTCTCAAGTGTTCTTTTAAATTGATTTTATTCACAATGAGATAGAGAATATTGATTTTGGAAACTCAAATAAAATATTATGAAGATTTGTCCATATGTATCTGGACAACTGGATGTTTATAATTTCTTTTGTGAAAAGTACTTTATCATGTACAAATCTTAACAGCGAGTAATTACCGAAATCTTATCAGATAATTACACAATCATTGGGGTGTTTTGAGTGCATGATTTCGCAAAGAAGTCGGTTACTTAATGATTTTTGTAATTCACTGTGTGACTATAGTGTTCATCTCCGTATATCAGCTGGGTATCAGTTTGCAGTGACAAAAAATTTACATGTGAATGCCGACTTTCAGCACTGAATGAGTGACGCTCTCTCCGCACTCAGGCATAACCCAACCACTCCTGTTACAGTTTGTCAACTCGTCTATTTTACCTATTCTTCTTTACTGTTCACCCTTATTCTTTCCTGGATTGCTATGTCATACTTCGTAGAACTCTGAAGACTGTCAGTAGGACGAGTGGTATCCCATTGGGCCATATCGTTGACATTGTCACTGATAGGCACTTGATGTCATGCAACAAATTCGCTAGAGGAATTTTGTCAGACTCTGAGCCCCCACTTTACCCGCAGCTCCAACCTTGTGTCTCCTCAGGTAAAACAAGAAGTCTTTTCAAAAGAATTTATGCATGTACGTCTAAGTATAAAAATTCCACTATACCATATTTGGTGGCACGTGCTTTATGTGATGAAAATAGTGTCAGGCATGAACTAACTAACTAACCTTCTTCTCACTACTAAATAAACCATTTCCTCCACCCTTACAGCATCAAACTTTATTGTTATTGTATTTCTTATATTTATAATCCTCTCAGCTTTTTTTTTTGTTGATTTTTTTCATAAGTATGGACATAATTCAAGCTGTATTATGACTGTTAATTTTGTGTTTCCCCTCACTATAATATATCAACAGAACATTAGATCCAATAATCTATAATATGATAAAATTTCCAAACTGAATCGACAATACTGTTTGAAAAAAACTCACTGTTATTATTATTATTATATTTAATACTCTCAATTCGTGCTTCAAATATTTTTGACTTTATATCATAAATGTGGACCAATTCCTCTGGTTAATTTTGTTTTAATTTTTAATTTTATTTATATTTTGAGTAAATC